TTTTGCCAGAGAAAAAAGTTTGCATTACTTAAGGTTTCAATTTACGGTGGAACCTCATTGATATCTACCTTAAGAACCACCCCTTACAGTTGCATTAATTTGGTCCCGTGGAGATGAGGTTCCACAGTACTTGATGCGTTCACGTTCTGTGCAGAAGAGTCTTATCTCTTCTCTCCGTGTGTGTCCCTACAGCTGTGGATCTACACGGTGCCCGCTGGAGTGGCAGCAGTCGTGACGGTGGTGGCCTTCTGGTGGAACAAACCTCCTCTCCCTCCCTCTCCCTCCTCCGAGGACAGCACCAGTCCTCCCTTCTTTACAGGACTCCGAATGGTCGGCGACCCACATTACCTCTGTGGGGTGTAAAACTTTCAGGAAGAGAAATTTGTTTCGAACACGTTTTCTTGAAAAGGGATCTAAAGTACAGTAGTACTTCTTGCTCTTTACTCCTTGCCTTTTTCTCTCTCTCTCTGTGCCAGTGTCATGTACACGTGTGCCTCTCTCTGTCAAATGCAGACGGTGACAAACAGTTCGTTCTGGGTCCTGATGGTGATCTGGGGCAGTGGAGCTGGTCTCTTCAATGCCCTCCTCACTCTCCTCCCACAGATAGTCTGCCCCTTCGGCTACTCCGATGTACGTGCGTTGAAGACACTAGGATACAGTGGTTTAACTGTGTGTGTGTGTGTGTAGACTGACGCAGGGTTGTGGGGTGCTCTGATGATATTCTGTGGACTGGTAGGGGCTACGTTGGCTGGGCTCCTCATCGACTTCACTAAACTGTTCAAAGAAGTGGCAGTCGTATCTCTCGGTCTCGGCATTCTCAGCTTCGTCTGGTTCACTGAGGTCAGCACACACTCGGTGGGACAAGGGGGGGAGAATTTCTAATCGACAGTGGCAGGAGGGATGAAAAAATCATAACCTTCGAAATTGCCCGAAAATTAATGGTGCGGTGTAAGAGAGTGGGGTATGAAAATGACTGAGGGGAATTTTTGGGATTCAAAAATTATAGAAGGCAGATCTGTCAACGTTGTGTGCACGAAGTCTCACTCATAACGTCAGAGGTGGTGTTGTGAAGTGTACTCGATGCGTTACCCGTCTCTGTGTGTAGGTATTTACCAGTCACAATGAACCATACCTCATTGGAGCTTCACTCTGTGCATTCGGGTTCTTTGCACTCCCGCTGATCCCGGCCTGCATGGAGCTGGGGGTGGAGATCACTTACCCCGTCGCCGAGGCAACCAGCTCCGGTCTCCTCTGGAGCGTCGCGTGAGTCCGATTTTATATAACATTGCAATTCAGCTAAAACAAGCACCATACGTTTTATCCCCCCCCCTCTCTCTCTCTCTTCACTCACATAAATACAGGCAGGTGATGGGTATAGCCCTGCTCTTCCTAGGTCAACTCCTGGAGTCTGAACTCCCCAGAGACCAAGTCGAGAGAGCCAACTGCCAGGCCACAGACTCACACACCAACTCTTCCCTACCATGCTCCTCCTCCTTCTACGATAGCAACTCCACCATCAACACGGGAAAGACGGTCACTCCTTACGACTTTACCCACGCCATGTTCCTATACCTCTCACTGGTCACTTGTGTTCTGGTCCTGATGGTTGTTGCCTTCCACCCAAAGTACCGCAGAATAAGTGCAGAGAAGAAGGCCAAGTTCGAGGAGTCCGTGTATATCCAGTCGAACAATTAGTGGGTCCCCGTCCGTTATTTTTTATCACAATTGTAACAACATTTACGCGGGTTGCGTGAGATTTTGAGCGGGATACGCGCGCGAATTCGGCGGGCCTGTACTGTAGGATCTAGATATGGCAGGCTGGCGGTGCTTGGTGGAGGGGCTGGAGCGGGAGGAGAAGAAAAGATGGGGAAGTCTTCCAGCTGGAGAGGCTCTCTACGGCACTGCCGGGTTCAGGGACAGGTACTCAGCCTGCATGCTCTGTTACAGAATTTATAGAATAATGCTGTGTGTGCAGGGCTGACAGGCTGGGGAGAGTGGTGTTCAGAGTTGGAGTTTTGGCTGCTCTGAGAGCCAGAGCTACCAGAGGCAAGACCGACTCCTCACTGGCTTGTCTACCACTATCCAACTATGTTTCCCCTCCTTTCTCTTCTCTCTCTCTCTCTCTCTCTTCCCCTGCAGCCAGTGTCGGAGTGATGATCACCGCCTCACACAACCCCGTCCAGGTATGTGTCATCGCCATGTGCGAGGTCACATGACCTGTCACGTGATCCCTGCAGGACAACGGAGTGAAGGTAGTGGAGCCGCTGGGAGAGATGTTGGTACAAGAATGGGAGGACTTTGCCACTCGACTCGCGAATGCAAGGTGATCAGGCACTTCTTGGGGTATACACATCAACCATTCCCATCTGCCAACCAGCCGATAAAATTGTGTAGTACAAAATTTGCTTGACATGGGATAAAAACGCTGCTGTCCCCTCAAAAATATATGTGTCAGACGCACCCCGGGTTGTCACAAAAAAGTGGGAATCTGTGATTTTCTGGTGGTATGAGCAGTGTCTATAACTCAAGTAAAAGCTGAATAGTTGGTTTGGTGTGTTCTCTCTCTATATATACATCCAGTACTGAGACTCTGGGGAAGGTGGTGGAAGAGATAGCAGAGGCAGCTGGGCTGGACCCTGGCCTTCCCTCCAAGGTCCTCCTCGCCAGAGACAACAGGTCTGTGATCTGTGCAATGTGTGTGTTTGTGTGTGTGCGAGACGTGGTGTGTTTGAAGTCCATCTCTGTTTGCCTACTGCAGACCGAGCGGTGATTGCCTCAGAGAGCTGTTAGTAAGCGGAGCAGAATTGGCGGGGGCAGAGTGTAATGATTACGGTATGCCAATACAAACACCCTCTCAACAACTAACAAATGCCAACCCAGTACAAAGGTTTAGCAGTGTGTATGTAACGCACGTTTGAATGTATTATGGTATGAGCAGTGTGGCATTTGCATAAGATAATCACACTTCAGTGACTGAGCTCGCTTCACTTGTGATTTAATCTGTTCCTTTCCCATTTTACCCCTCCTCATCCCCCTCTTCCTCCTCATCCCCCTCTTCCTCCTATCACTCCCTCCCTCTCTCCAGGTGTCCTGACCACCCCTCAGCTCCACTACATGGTCCGCTGTGTCAACACAGGAGGCAGATATGGAGCTGCAACTGAGGATGGCTACTATGACAAACTCTCTTCCGCTTTCCATCAGATGGTGCCTGAGGTTAGGCAAACCCCTTCCGTGTAGTTGATAGTCTATGGATGATCGGACCTCTAGTCTGTATATGTACTCAGTCTTTAGTTAGTCATATAGTGTGGGCCTTCCCAGTCAATGTGTATGCTGTATATATAATGGAAGATTATCTAAAAGAACATTATAAATATAATGCCCAAAATTTTCTCGCAGTGGCTTGTGTTTTTTCCCTCTGCAGTGTCCGGAGTCTCCCTCGCTGGTGAAGGTCGACGCCGCTAATGGAGTGGGCGGAGCCAGCATGAGGAAAGTGATGGGAGGAGTGAGGGGGGAGTGGCTAAAGGTGGAGCTCTGCAACGACGGCAGTGGCATCCTCAACGACCAGGTTAGGCGTTTGCACGTGACAATTAAGCACATGGGCTGGCTTGCACAGAAATGTGGCATTGAAAGAGGTTTTGGCCCGACCCGATTCAATTACTGCGACTCTGTCCTAATTTCGAAGCCAATTGCTTCACAGGGTGGGCGGATCAGGTTGTAGACTTGTAGCACTTTTAAAGAGGTTCGGCAAGATGAAAGACTTTTGCAAATAGGTGTGAAGAAACGAGCGGTCGTTGTTCCGACAGTTTAGTTAATGCCAACTGGGTGCCGTGTTTCTTGGCCAATTACAGAGTCACCAATGTGTCTGCTATCACTTCGCACCTGATCTTGCCCATTCAGTCCTGGAGGACGCCCGCTCCTCTCTCTTCACACAGTGCCCCTGTATGCACCCCTCGACGCATCCCTCACATCTGTTCCCACATAGTTAACTTACTACCACTAACACTCTCCCCCCTCTCTCACTTTGTCTCTCTAGTGAACTTCTACTGCTAAACCCTCTGCAACTCTCTCCCCCCTTCTACTCCATTATCTCCCCCAGTGTGGTGCCGATTTTGTCAAGTCAGGGCAGAAGGCTCCAAAAGGGGTGGAGTTTCTAGCCGGAGATCGCTGCGCCTCATTCGATGGTGATGCCGACAGAATTGTCTATTTCTGGAAAAATCAAGGTGACCTCTTCTCTTGCATTGAGTATCAACCATTCTCTGTCTTTTTGCAGATGGACAGTTTCAGCTGTTGGATGGGGACAAGATTGCGTCTCTTGCAGCCCTCTTTATTCACGAGCAACTCCAGAAACTTCCGTTCTCTCTCTCCCTCGGTGAGTGGGTGTGGCTTCCGCGGCATGCGACCTTTGCTCCTCTGGCGGTGTAAACCTGATTTATTATCACAGTTAGTGGATTCTCTGGAATTTGGCCTTGTCCCCTCCTTTGCCCTACAGGTGTTGTGTATACTGTTGTAGAGAATAGACATTCCTCTTGGTTTGTGTGTGTGGTGACAGCTGCCCACACCCTAACTGCCCCGCTGCCTTGTTGGTAGAGTGTGAATAGTTGATGGAAGCCCATGGTGTAAGACTGCTATGTTACAGTAAAGCAGAAAGGGAGGGGGCGATAGAAGGGGAAATGAAGGAGAGAGAGAGGAGCAATGGAGATAGAGAGAAAGAAGAGGGAAAGGTGGAAGGGAGCGACAGAGGAAGGCCGAAGGGAGAGAGAGAAGGTTTAAGAGGGGTACATTGGTGTGTCAAGCCCTATGGATGTCCATGAGATATGTCTACCACTGGCTACCGTCAGCAGTTTGTGTCAGCAATTTGTTTGTTTCATGTTAGTGGTGGGGTATGTCTGGTGTGCCGAGGGGTAGCCTCACCAAGCGGCCCATCTCACTGGGTTCTGTTGTGATTCCCCCAGGAGTCGTACAAACTGCCTATGCTAATGGAGGATCCACTGCCTTCCTGGAAAAACTATTGGTGAGAGAAAAAAGATGTCTCACATTATTTTTTAGGTTGTACCCGTCCTTTTTGTTTTATCCCACATTATTATTTTTATTCCATCCTTCTTTTTGTTTTACTCCATGTATTTTTTTATTCCATCCTTTTTGTTTTACCCAACTCCTTTCTCGCTTTCCTCTCTCCTTTTTGCTGTGGTAGTGCCTTGAGATTAAATACCAGGACCATTTAGTTCTCTAGCTAAGGCACCGGTGCATGGCTTGCATTCACCACTACGTACTTGGTCCTGTTAGCCTCCGCGTAAGGAAGCTGCCCTCACAAGCCTTCCAAGATCATCACAGTCACCCGTGTCATAAGCAGACCTTCTAGGGCACCTGTTGAGCTTTGACAAACACTCTGCCCCTTTATTGTGGGATATATCTGTGATTTGGGTGTATTGTGGACCCTCGCGGGACAATAGCTATTGACGGTTAGTCAGTAGTATAAGGTTGTGGTATTCTGGCATGCAGGAGGGCGCGAATGCACGGGTTTCTGTTTAATGTTTTGTCCATCTTTGAAGAAGCCCTGATTTATAGGGGCTCCTCCTGTGATACGTTTGATGTGTCCCACCAGGCACCTGTTTGTTTGTATTATTGCAGGGTGTCCCCGTTGCATGCACGTCTACTGGAGTAAAACATCTTCACCACAAAGCCGCATCGTTTGACATCGGGGTGTACTTTGAGGCAAACGGTCACGGGACAGTGTTGTTTGGCAGCAGAGCGCAGGAGAAGCTCTCTGTCGCCGCCAAAGACGCGGGGTGAGTGGGTTGCCAGGTGTGATACCACACATGTTTCATATTGTTCACTTTGACCAAAGGGATCGCGGAATAAACTAACATTAATATCGGCATTCTTCTTCGACAACTCTGCAGTACAGTTTTGGCCGGTGTTTTATTAACTAGAGGAAGTTCCAGCCGCCTTCATCGTGTGTTCGCCTTTGTGCATGTGCAGTATATGTGACAGTATGTGACAGTGTGTGTGTGAGTGCCAGAGTGGGATGTAGCAGATGGGTAGGGTGGCATAGTGGAAGAGATCAAAGGGATTTTGTTTTCAGTGACAGTTTTGACTACCTCTGTGAATTTCCTTTGGCATCTCATTACCAGCTAGAGGCTGTCTGGCAGTGCATTCCTAACCTCAGTTGGAGAGAATTTTAGATGTCCGAAAATTGTACTATTTGTGGATGTCCATCAAAGAAGGCGAAATAACTGATGCTTAACCACTACAAAAGAATAGCCTTGTGTGCTGGTATTAGCTGTCCATTTCGAAAACACTACACTAGGCAGCTTCCAAGTATATATAATTTAGCTAGGCGAGCACACACAAAAAGAGAGAGAGAGACACACACAGAGAAGGACAAGTAAGGTGGAGAGATCTGTGCGTGTGTGTGAGGCTAGCCAGCGACCCTCCTGTGCCAACCTCCTGGTCTGCGTCAACATTGCTGGCAGCCGACGCACAAACACAGACACACTGCTGTGTGTCCACAGCTAAGTGTTCAAAGGCACGCAGGGCGGGTGATGGTGGGTTTCTGTTGTGCCCCTCACCTCCCTGGCTGGTGCCGAAGAGCCTAGTATGGTAATGTTGGGTAACCCAGAGCTCTCCTCCTATGTTTGATTGTGTCACGGCCTGCCAGGGTCAAGAGGGATTTTGATTACCCCCTGAGATAAGTGATCCTAATTGGTACAAGTGGGGCGTTGTTTGTACTTCACCTGGAGGCAATGACCACTTATTAGCAGTTCAGTTTAACTTTCCACGCTTTTTCTGACCTCTATTCTGATTCTGATCCTTCCACTCTGCATTGCATCGCAGGGTGTCGGAGGCTGTCCAGCGTGCGGCCAGTCTCCTGTACGCCATGTCTCAGTTGGTGAACCAGGCAGTGGGGGATGCCGTGTCCGACTTGCTGATGGTGGAGGCCATCCTCATCCACAAAAAGGTGGTAAAAACTTTAACGAATAATGAAGATCGACAGGTTTTTATAGGTCTTTAAAAAACTTAGCGCATAATAAATCTGTGTATATTGGATTAAACTATCGGTGGGTTTTCTGAGATATGAAATTTTTACACCGATGTCCCTTTTTCCCCCCTCTTCTCTCAATGTGCTTCTAGTGGGGATGTGAGGAGTGGGCAGGAAATGTATAGGGATCTCCCCAACAGGCAACTCAAAGTGAAGGTGGGTCTTTGATCCCCTGGTTCTCCACATTGCCGCTGGCTCACCAATCATTTTAACGCCCCACCCTACCTATCTACACATCCCTGTCACCCTGCCTGTGGTACCAACAGTGCAAGTGGTGCACAGTGTCCTCTTTGCCCTTGCTGCACTCTCCTCCGCTGATTTTGTGGTGTGCTAGTACCTAGTGTAGGTTTGCTTGTCTTGGGACCATTGCTGTTAACCTTTATCAATGTCAGGAAACTTGGGGAATTTGTGTTGTTGCTCTCTTCCAGGTGAAGGATCGTATGGTCGTGAAGACGACAGATTTCGAGCGGAACTGTGTGAGTCCTGAGGGACTTCAAGAGGCCATTGATACTCTGGTAGCCAGTAAACCCCGTGCTCGATCGTTTGTCAGGTGCTATATACAACAATTGAAATTGCATGTTTCGTGGCTCAAAATCTCTGAGGTCAAAAGGAAAAACAGTGAAAATAGCAGGTGGGTGTCTCACATACAGCCATCTGGGACAGAAGACGTGGTGAGGGTGTATGCAGAGGCTGAGACTCAGGTTTGCTGGCTGTAATGGGCACACTAACTGATTTTTCAATTCTCTCTCCTCACATACACAGGCACTGGCGGACGAGCTAACCGTGCAGGTTGCAGCCAAAGTCTTTGATCTCGCCGGCGGCACCGGGGAAACGCCCACACGCTCCAATAACTTTTTATAGCTCGGCAGCGCTGCTGCGCGCTACTATTATAGCGTCCTTTGATCATAAGCTGTTGAAATGCAATTGGAGTTTGTCGTCCTACAAGCGAGTATGCCGCGCCTTTTGCCTCATAATTGGCCCAGTCCACACGATCTGGCTGCCCAGGTATTATGTACAGTTGGAAAATTTGCGACTGCAGGATCGAAGATCGGTATGTTTTGTAACGCCTGTTTAGGCCGCATGCGCGGGAGGTTGTCCGAGGGGGGGGATGCTCAGAGAATGTCTCATTATGTACTAATATCTGCGTGTGGCGATGCCCGAGCATTAGTGAGTAGTGCGTGCATGCTTCCCGCTCGCCTCGCCGCTGTCCACGCGCCGAAGTTGGGATTCCGCCGTCCTCTTGCACAGGTCGGACGACGCCGACGACGGACGGGATCCCGTGGGTAGTACAGAACTATTACTGCAGAGCACGGATTCACCGCTGATTGACTGAATGGGATGGAAGATACTGTGGGCGGGCGGCGACGGACGGAGCTGGACGGGTTGTTGCGGTGGTCGGGACTGGGAGTCTGCCTTGTCGCCGTGCAGCTCTCTGCTGTTCTCGGTGAGTGTTGTGCAATTATAGCGGACGGCGTCTAACGCCGTTGCTGGCACTAAAATAACAGTTTATACTTCCCTACCCCTGTTTTACTAGTGAAGTAGTTCAATTTCTTTATGCTTTGCAAGGGGGATGCATGCATATAACAGGCACACCTGAGCATGAAAATAAAAAAAATCACCCAAAAAGGGTGAACTGCTAAGATGCTATATCACAGATCCAATCATCTGATAGTCCCAATAATTGGCAATGCACTGCCCCTTCCCAACGACCCTGAGGCACTTAGCTCTTGGGTAGAGGGTGGATGCAGGGTGGGGGTGGGGTGTAAGACAGACAGGTGAGTGAGCCTTAACAGAGAGGCTGAGCTAGAGCTCTAATTGAACAATGGGCGGCACAACTGATGAACACTCTACACTGTACACCCTACACTGTGACACTCTGGTAAGTCAAGCTTTGATGGCAGAGAGTAATGCACAGCATGGGCCCATCATCACCTTACTTTGCAATTATACTTGGCCTTCCATAGTCAGTCCATGCATACCCTCCACAGCAGTTATTACAAGCCACAACAAAACAAAGCGATGAGTCTCAGGTTGGCCACCTCCTCCTCCGATTGTATCATGTGGCATTGTATCTATGATCTATGCAAAGGAGCGTGGAAATTATGTCCAATGGGGAGCCTCTCATCTGAGCCTGTCACCTGATACTGTAATCCTCCACCTAACACTCACCCAGCTTCTCACAACAGGCACTCTTCTATATACCATATCAAGAGCTGTGCCTTCCACTAGAGTCTTTGAAGTAGGCTTTGTGTTAAACCAACAGAATGTCCTTGTGGAATACTCTGCTAAGCAGCATGGCTGCTCCTGGTATGCAGTAGGTGCTTTCTGGGTTGCTGTTGGTATTTGCCATCCGAGCCTTTGAGCCTTCTGCAGGCGTGTACTTGTGTGTCCACACATTATGCACACCCTCCTTTCACATGTTTACCCTTACGTTTTAGTGGACAGGGAGGGGGGATCTATAGGCAGAGAGGGGGCAAGAGTATGGAGAGGGGGAGGCATGTGACGAGGTGAGATAGAAGACTATTGATCCTTATTGTGACTGGTGTAGGGAGATTTGCAACAGTTTTTGTTTAACTAATGATCTGCCTCTGTTTGGCCCTCGACAGCAGCCAGTGCTGGCTTTGAAGGCTTCAACCTCACCAGGCTCAGTTGTCATTGGGCAAACGGAGCATGTCATATCTCTTATTTCCCCTCAAAGAGACAATTAGTGGAACAGCACGTAGATTGCAGTGATTACATTCCGGCACCATTATGATTGGGAGACTGTGGGGTGCGCGCAACAGGTGTGCTGCCAACTGCTGTCCAGTATCCCAATCACACACCATCCGTGTATCTGTCTGTGCACAACTGGCTGCCGGTAATTGGTCGGTGTAAAGGCCTTCTCTGGCCGTAGCACTAGCTTCAGAAGTCGGGGATATGCATAGCGGTACTCCTGGCTTTAGTGTTACACAGCTAGGTCCAATTGTGAAATGGCTACTGCATTCTCCAAAATTATTATTACTGCGTACAGTTTTTAATCAGCTCCAGTCAGGTAAGCCCTCGTGGTTACATATCTCGCTGGAATTCTTTCTGTGTGAAACCAGACACCAGTGTTCCACCCGCTCCCCCACTGCTCCTAGCACTACAAAGCGGGCAATGCTAACTTGTGGTATGATAAGCTCTTTTCGATTAAAGTGACTTTTTCCCTGTTTCCACCCACCTCCCCCCTCACTTCCCTCTTCCTCTCAGGTGCAACTGTCCCACAAAACACTCCCGACGGGCAGACTCCCGACACAGAAGATCCTGGTGGCACGGGAGGTGAAAATTCGGACGATTCCCTCGCAACAACCGTCGGATTTGTTGTTGTGCTGTTTGTCCTTGTGTTGGCAATCCTCATGACGGTCCTCCTCTGCGTCCGTCACGGGATGTGCTCCTGCCAGAACAAGGGAGACACGCCTGCCAAGCATCCTCCACTCACACCGTCTCACTCCTCGCGCGGCGGGGGAGGGGCCGGGAACGGCGGCGGAAGTCGGAGCAACCGGTCTCCCCTGGTCTCTACGTCCTCGTTGAGGAGCAGCCAGAGAGGAGGAGGAGGAGGACACAGCACACAGTCCCCAAACTCACACCATCACCATTCACACCATCACCACCACTCCTCACATCACCACTCGCACCACTCCAGTCCGAGACGACACAACGGCCACACCACCACCGGCGGCTCATCGATTGGCAATGGGACAAACTCAGGGACCAGTCTCGCAGGCAGCTCCAGTTTCTCTCAGCACATTCACCACCACATGAGATCAGCCTCAATGGACCCTCCTCTTCCCAATAACATTTCTCCTTACCCCCGGAATGCCTTTCCCTTACCAGCCGTGCAAGTCACCTGCGACTACGTACACCAATGCTGGAGTGGGATACCCCATTAATCCGCAGATACCACGAACACCGACCTCCGCTAGTATAACTACCCTCTCCAGTCTCAGCACTGCACACAACCATCGCAGTGGAGGAGGGGGAGGGGCAGGAGTGGGGAATGGAGGTATGGGTGTGGTGGGGAGAGAGGGAGGAGGAAGGAGAGGAGGGGAGGAAGCAAATGGAAACGTCGGTGGACGAGGCGACCGAAGATTTTCAGGTGAACGACAGGAAATTGGGAGAGATTGGAGGGGCGATGGAGGAGGAGTAGAGAGGGGGTTAGGGAGTGATCACGACCACCAAGGAAGGCGGGGTTTGAGGGGAGGGAGGAGGGGAGACGGGGGAGGGAGGAGGAGAGACGGGGGAGGGGGAGAGTCCACCAGCAGAAGTGGCGAAGAGACTCAGAGAACTCCAATGCCACACGGACAGGTGGACTATGGCGGGCACCCAAACAATGCTTCACCACTGCAGTCATATTCAACTCAAGTCTGAAGATAATTTTCAATGTATGTCACAGCTAGTATACAGGATCTCAGTCATATTTGTTTGTGTGCTCCATCACTCTATGTATTGACGTATCGACGACAGAAGCCAGCCCCGCCCCCTAAATTTGCGCACGCGCAGTTTGCAGTCTCTTTGGGGTGGTGCGCATGATTTGGAGACCATGAACTCAGGGAGAGGTTCTGCGACTAGAAGGAAGAGAACTGCAGAGGAGGAGGCCACCAGAAATGATCTTTTTGCCTCAGACACTCTCTCGTCCCTCAGACATCGGTACGTTATTAGCACTCCGGGAACTTTGCTATCCCCAGTTGTTCAGCGCTTACATTTGGGTATATACTGTGCTGACCAGGAAGGCGGCAAGCGAGGAGCAGGAGGCGCAAAGCGTGACTGAAGGCCTCGTAGAACTGAGACAGATGATGCACGGTCAGGTACAACACGCCCAGGGGGCGCTAGGAGTACTAGGTAACGCGACATGCAACCAACAACTTCCTCCGTTACTAATAATCCCTATGTATGCAGCAATATCTTCTGGAAAGCTCCAAGAGACTAAATCAGGAATGGAGGAAATTGGCTCCAACATCAAAGTCGGTCAGGGCCTCATTTCCAAGCTGGGGAGGAGAGATATCACTGACAAAGTGTTGATATTTCTAGCGTTCATATTCTTCATTTCTGTCGTTTTGTACGTCATCAGGAAACGGATTATTGGTTGGATCATATAGAATGCTTTACTGATGCAAACAAACGAGTGAGTGGCAGTGAATGTGATACAATAGAATGGAAGATGTGTGGCACAAACAAACACAAGTGCAAATTTGAGAGTTTAGAGACAAAACGTTTATCAGAGGAGAGCGGAGTGTGGGGAATACTCAATCAGGTCCCTGGCTGCTGGAGTTCAATCTGCTGAGGAGGCAGCCGAGAGCTCCGAAGTAACCCTCGTGTCTGAGGAAGAGGGCCTTGATCTGTCCCTGTGACCAGTACTCCATGGCGTAGGCCAACATCTGCATGGACATCTCGTTCCCACACAGGTAGTTACCTACAAACACCACTCTCTCAACCCCCTGTATATATACATACAGCAGAGAGTAAAGGAGAATTACACACAGTATAATTATATAGAAAAGGCAGAAGTTCCTGAAAAGCAAGGATTTGTAGAGAAGGGATGGACAAGTGATTGCAAATTTTTTCTCTGCGAAATTTTTCTAGTGATCAAGACTTTCCTGGTATTGCAGGATCCTGATAAAAGTGGAAGACAATACGCAACAAACAGCCTTTGCTTCTCTCTAACTGCATCCTTTCTTAACTCTCCCTCAACTCTCTCCTCGTACGGAGGACTTTTATATTATAAACTCACAGAGATAGAGGCACACATCCTGGCAATAGCTCCAATATTGTTGGTGACCGTCACGAGAGTCGCCTTTGCCAGGTCCTCCGGACGAGCACTCTTACGTCTGTCCACGTTTGCCATGTGCCCAAAACTGCACGACACACAAAACGTCACAACATGCATATCACCACACTCCATAGATGGAGTCTAGGAAGTCATGCAAGGTAAGATGAACACAAACACATGGGGATAGTTAGTAGAGAACTGGTCCAGACTCACCTGCTAGCTACCACTTCACCGCCGAGTCCAAACCTGCTGTAGTCCCCGCCGTAAATATCCCGCACCAGTTTGTCCACCCTGTGACTGTCCCCTTTCTCTGCCAGCGTGATTGCCGCCTCGAACGAGTCAACCCCTGCCAATAAGCTACACAGCCCTGTGAACGTCCCCCCACCCACGCTAGTACCACCGATCCTCGTGAAGTCAGTGGCCGAGTTGACGCGAAGAATGCTGACTCCGGAGCCGATATTGACGATGATGTAAGGGTACGGATCGGGGCCCAGCTGGAACGGGACTGTGTGACTCTGGTCTGAGTTAGGGTTCTCCCAGTAGTAGCACTCACCTGCTAGCTACCACTTCACCGCCGAGTCCAAACCTGCTGTAGTCCCCGCCGTAAATATCCCGCACCAGTTTGTCCACCCTGTGACTGTCCCCTTTCTCTGCCAGCGTGATTGCCGCCTCGAACGAGTCAACCCCTGCCAATAAGCTACACAGCCCTGTGAACGTCCCCCCACCCACGCTAGTACCACCGATCCTCGTGAAGTCATTGGCCGAGTTGACGCGAAGAATGCTGACTCCGGAGCCGATATTGACGATGATGTAAGGGTACGGATCGGGGCCCAGCTGGAACGGGACTGTGTGACTCTGGTCTGAGTTAGGGTTCTCCCAGTAGTAGCACTCGTCCAGGTACTCGCGACAGAGGTAGTGGAGACCGGTGATGAGGCTCTGCATCTCGTCGTACTTGGCCAGCTTCACACCTAGTCGCTGGAGGAGGAGAGGAAGCAGTCGAATTGGCTACACAAACTTTTTCTAGTAACTTTGTAAAGAAAACGTTTTCGGAGGTTGCTTCTCCCGCTGAGGATATAAGTGCAGGGTTCTCGTTAAAGCGCGGAAGAGCGGTGCAGCGCCGCGCTATAGTTCCACTCCGCCGCGCGCTCTATTGCAACTGCCCGCCGCTCTATGCGCACGCGCTCGAATAATTGTATTCACAGTTTACGTAAGTACTATAATAGTTTACTTAAGCTGCCCACGTGTTTCACAACAGAACCACCTCAAGGAAGTAGCAAGAAGCACAAGACAGGCTACAATCCAGACTCAGAATCTAAGCAATGAACAATAGACCTAGACACAAACGTTGTTTAGTTATCTGTAATGTATTGTGTTTTAAACATGTCGTTCATTTACCACATTTGCCTCAAATTCCCCCAGATTCAATCTCTGAGAGTCTAAATGCTAAAATTTTCCCCAGACCCCCCTAGGTGGCGGATAGCACCGCTCTGTGATTTTTTCATAGCTAGAACACTGATTAGTGGTCCGAACACTAAACAATTCCCTAATTTGTGAATGTTTTCTCCTTCTGTAGTGTGTTGGTCAGTGAGTGTGTATATTGATGTTGGGACAAAACTCACCTCTTGAAAGGCACTTTCAAATTTGAAGGCGCCGCCACCTGTGGCACATACGACCTTGGGAAACCGGGCCAGTCCGTTGTTGGTTGCCATGTCGAAGAAACCGCACATCCGGTTGGTGGCAAACTTGATGAAGTGGAGGGTGCCGGTGTAGCCTCCGATCTTCTGTCCATGCATCTCTAGTCGCTGGTCTCGTATCCCTGTGGACCCGTACTTGAGGTTTGACTTGATGAATTTCTTCATGGCCGCTACTCCCTCTCCCTCGGTGAGTGGGTCTGTCTTGTCGTTTTGAGTCTCGTAGTAGACTGCCTTGACCAGCGTACCGCCCACGTCAATACCAAACCACTGGATAGCCTGCTGGTGATCTGTCAGGTGAGGGAGGAAGTAGCAGGGGGAGGGAAGTGTGAAAAGTGGGTGTTCAGAGTAAGGACACAATGGGGTGGAGAGTAGGACACTAGAAATTTGGTAGATCACTCATATAAGCCATCAGAACACACTAAATATAGTGTCTCGTCCTGTTACTGTGCTCATGCACGTGCCTCCTCCTCTCCAAGTTGTGGTACTATGTAAGTGCACAAGCACATCACCTGACACCATCTCTCCACTCTTCAAATTATAAACTACATAATGACATGAATTTTGGTCAAAATTTTCTGACACCACCTGATGTATACACCCATTCCACACCAGGGAGATGTCTCTCTCTAACTATAATATGTGCAGACATCACGTGTACAAATCAACACTTCATTCTTTATACATGTTGACCACATTCAGCTAAGGGTTAATGGAGCACAAACCGAGTCTCCCCTCCACGGTAACTAACCTTGCGAGTGACGCCTGTAAGAGGAGGTGGTCGCTACGTCGGCGGCCAGTCTGGGCTCGCAGTCCACCGGGACGGCCAAGGTCGCGTAGGCGGGAGAGACGTATTCTCTGATTTTCAGGAGCTCCGGCTGGATTTCTGGGTCGCAGGAGGGGGCCTCTGATAACAGGTCCATTGTAATGTGGGTAGAGAGGTAGAAAAACTGGTGAAACGGAGATAAACTCTGGTATTTCAAGGCGAGGAAGGCTGGCTAGGCTGATCACACCCTACCGCGCGACATGCACGGTCAGTGCACGCTGAGATTACGGAGTTCCGCATTCTATATAGGAGTTTTTCGCTACCTGCAACTCCATCAGTGCCTGCAGTTGTGATGGCGGCGGCAGCGGCTAGGCTGTTTCTGTCGAGGTCGTCAGGCTCGCTACACCTCGAAAGAGGTACGAAGTAAAGTCGCAGCTCCGAGGCTGCAAGTTCTGGGCTGCGGAAAAGTGGCCAAGCGGTGTAATTCTAATTGTAGCACACTCTCCACAGGAGGGAGAGGATTGATGCAGCAGGTCCGCACGTGCTACACGACGACTCGGGGGAACATGATGATCAACAGAAACACCAGGGTCATCTGTCAGGGGTTCACAGGCAAACAGGTCCATCATACCATCTTCGGTGCAGTAGAGTGCAGTCAGCTAATGGACACATGTTGTTTGTGTTCTCCAGGGAACATTTCACTCTGAGCAGGCTATAGCGTATGGCACCAACATGGTGGGGGGTGTGTCTCCCAAGAAAGGTGGGGGTACTCACCTCGGCCTACCAGTCTTCAACACAGTGCAAGAGGTATATATACCCTATTTTAAAATGATAGAGCCTGAAAGCTTTGAGAGATTCTTACTGTTCAAAAAGTCTCTCCGCCCATAAAATTTCAGAGATGGCTCTCAAATTTCACAATAAGTTGCAACTTGGTGGTGTATTTACTCACCCTCAGGCTAAAGAGGGAACGGGTGCTCAGGCGTCCATGATCTATGTGCCGCCAGCGTTTGCTGCAGACGCCATCATTGAAGCCATCGACGCAGAGTTAGATTTGGTGGTGGTCATCACGGAGGGGATTCCCCAGCTGGACATGGTCCGAGTGAGTCACAACTATTGATTCCTGTTGCCCCTTTCGTTACTGATTTTATTGTTGACTGTTAATCCAATCACGGATTAGTTTTAGCATCATGTAGCTTTAGACAAAAGAAAAAACCAGTTTTCTCTTTTTTGCTGTTCCAGATGTAGTTTTTGGTTTTTTCTTTGTCTTCACTAGTTTTTCTCTTTTTTCCTGCTACTGTACATATGTCAGGTGAAGCACAAGTTGGTGAGACAGAACAGGACGAGACTCGTAGGGCCCAACTGCCCGGGAGTCATCCGAGTGAGTTGGTGTCTGTATTCCTGTCCTCCTGCTCAGCCGTGTCACTGTGTGTGCGTTCCCCCTCACTCCCACAGCCAGGGCAGAGTAAGATGGGTATCATGCCTGGCCACATACACAGGCCTGGGAACATCGGTAAGTAATATACTCCCATCACAAGAATGTTTTGCTAATTACTATTCTTGCTTCTAGCTAAACTCTGCTTTGTGACTTGCTGGGTTGTGTGTGTGTATATATATGAATGGATGAAACAATGAGTCGCGTTGCAGGTATTGTGTCTCGCTCTGGTACTCTGACCTACGAGGCCGTGTGGCAGACAACTAACGTCGGGCTGGGACAGTCTCTCTGTGTCGGTAGGTTCCACGATAGGTATAATGGTGTGCACACATCATTACACCCTCCTCCATGTGTACATGAACTAGTCAAACAGCAATTTTTTGGGAGTATGCACCATGAGAATTTACTTGCATTAAATTTTCATCTTTGACATAATATTTTGTGTGTTCAATAAACATGATTGTAATTTCCATATTCCTTCATTATTTTCCCTTCCTGAAAGAAACCCTGGGATCGTCGTCTCATTTGTGTGGTTGTAGGTATAGGCGGTGATCCATTCAACGGAACAAACTTTGTGGACTGTCTGGAGGTGTTCTTGCAGGACGGCAGCACACAGGGAATTGTGATGATCGGCGAGATTGGGGGAGGAGCTGAGGAGAAGGCCGCCCAGTTCCTCAAGGAGCATAACACGGTGCGGCTAAACCAAACTAACACGTCCACCGTAATATCTCACTGTGTTATGTATTGTATAGGGACCTAATGCGAAGCCAGTGGTAGCATTCATTGCAGGAGTGACAGCACCTCCAGGAAGAAGAATGGGTACAATACACTTACTGTAAACACTGTACAGTTTAGTTCTGTGGAGCTTGTGGAGCCACTCTTCAGGCAAGGGAGCAAGTCGTAAAAACTTTGAAATTCCTATATACTGTAGCTGCAAACTTCTTGTTCCACCACACAACAGGCCATGCAGGAGCCATAATAGCTGGCGGCATTGGAGGAGCGGAGGAGAAGATAGAGGCCCTGAAGGCAGCCCATGTCCACATCACCCCTTCCCCTGCTGGCATGGGGGCTCTAATTAGAGAGGTGATTAGAGAATCAGAGCAGTGTGCCAAGATGTGTGCGTGTAATGATGATCTCGATATGTACCCGCAGGCTATGGAGAGTGACCGGAGACATTAGAAACTATTTATGAGATCAAACACTTGTGGTATTCTGTTGTTGGCAATAAAGATGATTGTACTAGAGCTGTAGAGTCTATCCTATAACGAACAAAATTATTCAGCGCGTTTTTGTTGAGCAAATGTGATGATGTGGCCATTCTTATCACATACGCATTGCAGAGTCGATATTATGTTGCCAATAATGTATGCTATCAGTCACATAAAAGATGATAAATAAGTATGTGAATCATCACCAATGGAAAACTTGTTATGTAACAGTTCAGCAGCTATCCACTCACGTTCAGTCCGTGTTTCTCAATGTAGCTCCTGCAACAGAGTAACAATTAATAATGCAGAGAGTGTGAGTATAGTTAAACACCCACTGTCTGGCCTTCTGGACTAGTTCTCTCTTCCTCTCCTCCAGAGACAGCTGTCTGTGCATGGCCTCCATGGCCGGACTGTAGTATTTCCGAGGTCGGAGACTGGAGCTCTTGAAGGTGGGAGGAGTCGAGGTGATGTAAGAGGGAGGAGGCAGGGGTTTCGGAGCTGGTTTAGCCGGAGGAGAAGGGATGGGGTCGTAGGTCACCACTCCCTCCAGGAAATTGGCTATGGTGGCATCCACACTCTGTGTTCGTACTGAACGAGAGAGAAGAAACGCATTAGGCCTTGACTGAAAAGAAAAGCTCTATCTCAGATGGCGTTCTAATCACTGGGTGTTTAGTATCTCAATTAGGGGTGAGTCACAGTGAGACTCACAGAGGTCTTTCCTGATGGTGGTGTGGGGGACTTGTGGCAGTACAGCTGACACCTGATCCACCATTCTGTCCAGACCCGTTGGCTCTCTGGAGGACGGAGGAGGCGTGGCTGGAGTCTGACTGGTGGTGGTGGTGGTGGTGACAGCCCGAGGGCGAGGAGTAGGAGACACTCCAGGAGTACGTCCCTTCCGAGAGGCTGAACCAGACAAACATTAGTTCCACACTACACTCAAAAATAATTTGAGGTGGTGTGTGTGTGTGAATCTATCAACCGACCTTTCAGCCATGCTGTAACGTTGTCCATTGTAACCTGTGACTCCTGCAGTTTTAGCTCCTCTCTCAGGGACTCCTGTACCCTTTGACTGAGCTGGCCTCCGTCCTCTCCCTCCCTCCTCTCCATTGGAGCCAATAGCCTAGGAAGGTACAATGCATTGAAGAGCCGTCACTTCCATACAGTCAACATACTTGACGCGAAACACTGTAGTTGGAACAAACAGAGTCCAGAAAAGGTCCCACCACTGTGAGCTGTACACTGTAGTCTGTGTTAGAGAGTGTATACTATATACTTAATGGCTCAGTTTTTTTCAGGAAGACGTACTAGTTTTATACCAAACGGTCTTCTAGCTGTGAGTGCAATCTGAGGTGAGGGGAAATGGTGGAGAGTGGTGAGGGAGTAAGTGGGGACTAACCGGCTGAACATCGGTTGCCAGACGGCACGGCCAATCGCTGTTGGGTGAGAGCAAATGAAGCACAATGTGATTACTGGAAGACAGGGAGCTGACCTGAACTGGAAGAGGGAGTGTGATCCGTTAGTTGGCAGGGGCTCTGGTTGAATGGCAAACGGAACAACAGTCTCCGTCGATCTGCTTTCTACAGACAAAAAACCAACCTCATCCCAGACACGTCCCCCCTCATGCTAGAGGTACTAACTACCATCAAACTCTGGCATTTTCTTAGCCTCAATCTCCAGGTCGTCTGGACTGCGTGAGGCCAGCCTGCGATGAGGGAAGAAGAAATGGAGAAGAGGTGCTGCCACACCACCTGAGCTCACCTAACAAGGGGAGGGAAGGGAGAGGGGGAGATTTTAATAGGCTCTTGAATAGTGGGAGACACTTACAGTAATGCAGTCCAAAGCCAGATAAAAGACTACATGGTCCAGTAATGAAACCCTGTTACTGACATAAATCTGACGTAACAGAAAATGGGGTCACAGGATTTAAAGCGATAAGCACAATTTCCCTGACTTTAGTTTGAGAGCTTTTTCTGTGGAAGCTGTCGGTGATGACGACAATTCCCAGAACTCCAAAGAACACTCTCAGCATAAACCTACAGCAAAATACAATACCACCTACTGCTCCTTGGAACCAAGTTCTTTATATACCTCTTCACCGATCCTGCTGGGCAAATGACTAGCAACAGTATGACCTGGAGGCTCATACAGATCCTCAGGAACGTCAGAAAGAGGCCAAACGGTGCGTATAACACGAGAAGCAAGGACCAGGGGAGTCTGGGTAACCTGTGGGAGGTACATTCCAATTAGAGACCACTCTAATATCTGTTTTCACAGCAGCAGCAGACCTTTTAGTGTGGAACAGTTTCTCGACGTCGGCTTCAGATAGAGATTTGCTCTCTTTTGCTGTTGATTTCTCCATGTTCCACCAATCACCAGGGTGTTCAAAAACAGCTGAGCTGCAATTGATATGCGCATGCGCATCAGTTGCAAGTGACGTAATGGGTGACGGAATCATGATCACATGACCTGAGGATCCATCGATTGTACTATAGTTAGTTAGCTTGCCAGGGACTAGCCTGAAAGATGTTCAATTCGTCTCTCTTCGTGGCCTTGCCGATCATCACCATCTTCTGGGTGGCGGTGTTTATCGCCGGCTTCATCGTCCCTTTCCTCATACCCAAAAACCCCAACAGATGGTGAGTGAGTCAATCTCCTCACCACCCATTCCTGTCTATGTGCGTCTGCTGATACTGTGTGTTTCTGCGTATATACACGTACGTTACCGTTTGTGGCAACGGGTTGGAGGAACCTAAGGAATAGTTTACGAAACCGTGCCGGGTTGAGCCCCATACTTCAATGTAGTGTCTTTCAGTTCAATTGTCATCCTTCTGTTCACAGGACCATTGGCACAATGATCGCTACTACTGCCATCTGTTGCTACGTATTGTATCCTCCATACATCTACCTCCTGTCAACACGTAACTATCGTGTCCTTTACTTTATCTAATATGTTGTGTGTGGTGTTACTCTCCTTGACTGAGAGCCAGTTGGTTGATTGCGTTCCTGGCCCAGCTGAACCCTCTTATAGGACCCGAGGTGCCCAATGCCGTAGCAGCTCACATGAGGAGGGCCTGGCTGGGCTGGAAGCAGGCAAAAACATACGACACATGTGAGCCATACTTCAAACCTCCCAATACCCCAAAAATCATTGTCTGTCTTCTTTCCCACCCCTCCCCTAGGTTATCCTTCTTGGTGATCAATCATTCATAGGACGCAGCTTCACTGTGTGTGTAGTTCAAATCGATGGTGTCTTTGACTGTTGATTATAGTGTGTATGTAACATTTTGTGTCAACACTTGCATAATAATATACAGAGATTTACTGAAAGATTACTGGAAGGGTAACATGGTCTATTGTTACATGTATTGCATGATGTAAGCGGAGCAGATGTACACAACTCAAGAGGAGTCACTCCATTGTAGCTGAGTATATAGTCACTCATGGAGTACGAGAGTAGCTTCTGGAGCGTGAGGGAGTGGGACTGTGAGATCTGCAGGGTAAAGAGATTAGAGTGAGATGGGGAGCGGTTAGGAAGGAGCAAGAACAATGCAAAATGAGAGGCAGGATACCCACTAGAACTTCGCATACATACATACATACACAGAAAATAACATATAATAGTCAATTTGCCGGCAGAAATGAAAACATTTTGCAGCTACACACTATGTACCTTACAAGCATTGAAATTATAAAATTTTTCCCTCAAAAAGAGAGTTATTCTCTGGAGTAGGAGGAGATAGACTCACCGAGACCGGGAGTGGTCAGAGCGAGGACTGGGGCTCTTCCGACTGCCCTTGCGAGGAGGAGGAGGAAGAGGAGGAGGGGACTGGGGGGATGGGGAGCGACGCCCCCTTCTTTTGGGTGGAGTTTGCGACCGAGACCTCGAGTAGGATTTTGAGTGCCTCCTCCTGCAGCAACAATCAGATGAAACTACAGGAAGTTCTAGAGGGTGTGGTGAACTTGCCTGTCACGAGTTCTGACGGGGCTCGGACTGCGAGAGTAAGACCGTCTCCGTGGGGACCTCGAGCGGCTGTAGGGGCTCCGGGATCGTGAGTAGCGACGGCCGTTGGGGCTCGGGGAGCGAGAGTAGCGCCCGCGACGGTGACGTGGGCTGGGCGATCGAGAATTGCGACCACGTCTGGAGAGGGAGAAATTAATAACACATAAAATAAGAGTGGTAAAATCACAACTCACCCGCCGCCCCTCTCTTTACCCCTCATCTGATGGGGTGCTACATTACGCATACACGAAAACGTAAAGATGCATAAGACATCTTATAGTGAGGCTTACTCTTTCGGTCTCCTTCGGCGTACTGTATCTCCAGTTCTCGTCCGTGGAGTCTGGTGCCATCCAGATAGTGGAGAGCATCCTCTGCATCACGAACATCCTCAAACGTGCCCGCAAGTTAAGGTCAGTGTTACATTCAATTCGGACTACGAGAACTATTATGCAGCTATATGAGCTGTACTCTATCTCTCTCTCTCTTTCTTTCTTTGCTTGTGTAAGACTCCCTGTCTTTGCCTTTTGTCTTGACTTTTGCCTTCAGGCCAAAAACAAAAGAGAAACAGTATGAGCAACAGTAACTGAACCTAGCATCCCTAATTGATGCCCCCCCATGTCTTTACTTGTTTACACTTTGCTTTTCTTTGCTTGTTGTGGCTGTGCTGTTCTGTAGTTTGCTTGGTCCAGGTTCTTTGGGATCTTTAGACTTTACTTTAACATTTCTTTGGTCAAATATGCTTCTTATCTCTTGTCTTTTACATGAGCCACCTTTAAGGCCAGAGACAAACAAGGGTTACACTATAAAAGACACTCAATAGGGTATATACCATAACTGTACAAGTAATATTATATACACAGTTTAGGGTGTGGTTTCTGTGAACTGTGAAAATAACCTCAAGGGTCTGAAAGGATATTCGACATAGCAGAACCCCCTGGGTTCCCTGGTGTAGTAGTCCAGCGGAAGGTACACGTCTCTCACGGATCCATAGCGACAAAACAGCTCCTTTAGGTCGTCCCCACTGTGTGTGTGGGAAATAGATATTGCAGGCTAAGGCTCGCGCTCAGTGAGACGCCTACCTGGTCTGAAGGTTGAGTCCTCTCACAAAGAGAGAGGCGTTCGGTGTTCTCTGGTAACGGCCCCCTTGGCGTGACATCGCTCACCCTCCCCAAAAAAATGGCGTCTCTTAGCTAGCTCCAGCTCGGAATGAGGACTGCGCATGCGTGAGCCAGCGAAAGGTCAGGGTTCGCGTTGTAGCAAAATGGCCGGAGCGAGAGTAGGCCCACAGCAGCAGCAACCGCTTCATCCTCCTCCTCTGCTTCAGATCCCTCCACGACCACCTCCTCCCGGTGCACCGAACATCGTTCCACCTCAGCCGCTCCTTGGACCTCAGCCTCCTCCCCACCACCAGCAGCAGCAAGTAGGACCGAATCCACAGCCACCAAATCAAGTAGTTAGACCCCCAGCCCCGGCTCCCCCGCCGGCCCCCGACGCCGACGGAAACATCGGGGCGCTACTTGACCCCAACTGGTTCCGTGTCATCATCATGAAGTGCACAGCAAACATCCACGAAGGAACAGCGTCCGTAACTCTGGATCGATGGCAGGGGGTCTGGAGCCAGCTACCAAACGAGTTTGTCGAGTCTGCCCTCCACGCTTCTTCGGGTCTTCAGATCAAGCACCTCATTCTCAAGCAGCACCTTCTCATGGAACTTCCGAGAAACTTTGCCGCAGTCCAAACGGGCCTTCCTACGTCTCTAGTCACTCTGGATCTCTCCAACAACATGTTCAGCAGTCTCCCTCTGGTGGTGTGTGAGCTGAGGGCGCTGGAGGAACTCCACCTCAATCACAACTACATCTCTTGCCTCCCCGAGCAAATCTCAAACCTCAGCCAGTTGACTACGCTCTCTCTCCAGGTAAACAAGCTACAGGCTCTACCCACCAGCGTGTGCAACCTTGCGTCTCTCAGAACACTGAATGCAGAGGACAACAATATAGAGACGCTACCCTCAGAGATATGCCAACTCCAACACTTGAGTAGGCTATATCTCAAGTGTAACAGAATCACCCGTCTCCCGCAGCTGATAAGGGAAATGCCAAAGTTGGAGGAGCTACATTTGAGCAACAACCGACTGGAGTATGTCGATTTGTTCGGGCTTCAGTCTCTCCGACAGCTCCACCTCGCCAACAACAGACTCTGCTGTCTTCCGTACTCCATCACTGGGATGGATCTGCAGGGACTGACCCTGTCCAACAACCCTCTGGAGTTCCCACCGCTCTCTGTGTGCAGGCAAGGCCCGGAGGCCATAAAGGAGTTCTTGTGTAAAGAGCATACCTCTGAAGTTACTGTTAACCCACATTACATCATCAGTGATGATGACGACACGGACTATGTGAGTTCCTAAGTAGGTCCATTCATTTTGCAATCGATTAACAATATACATGTGTATCAAATTCAATCAAAAATGGGTTCTAATAATGAAATCTCTGTCTTGAAAAAAGGGGGGCGGTAAATGAGTATTTCTTCTCGTGTTCACTTTAATTCGGTGCTGTTGGCATCCTTGGCTTCAGTCTTCTTGGCCAGTATCGAAGGCCTTCTCAAGGCCCACTCGTAGCCCAGGGGATCTTTGAAGCTCCCAAACAGCTCGCCCCAGAACTGCATCTTGAGTGGAACCACTACAGTGGCATTGTTGTCCATGGCCTTCTTCCAGATGGTGTCAGGGTCAGCGAGCTCCAACTGAAACGAAACCCCGCGAGGCTCGCCCAGAGAGTTCTTTCCTTCCTCGAGGGCACACGCAGCGTCACCGAGATAGATGTGGCCCTTGTTTACCTCCATCATGCAGTGGGCTACCTTCCCTTCTGGACTGTTGAATAGTTGGCGCACTTTCCCCGAGAAGACAGTCTTGATCCACTCGACGTGTTTGGCGCAGTCTGGAGTCATGAAGGAAGGGATTACCCCGCGGACAGGCGTCGCATCCTTTGGCTCCATGAGTCCCCAGCGGAACCCAGAGCTGTCGCGCAGCATCCCATACAGATCGCCCCACTCCTGGACTTTCAGGTCCATGACGGAAGTGGCGCCTTTCTCAAGAGCTCGCTTCCACGTGGAGGAAGGCATGCCAAGGTCCATGTGCAGAATGAAAGGCTGGTGGGGAGGGTCTGAGGTCTCCGCACGCTCAGGAGGACCATCCGACATAAACAGTCTCCCGCCGTTGACGGAGATTTCGGAGTGCATGATTTTCCCGTCCGGCCAGTAGTGCGTCCCCTTCGTCTGTCCGCCGTAGACCTCGTTCACCCAGCCGATCATGCTCTCGCACGTTACCCCGCTCGGCGCGAGCAAGTAGGCCGTCACGCCGCTCGCAGGACCTTCGGAGACGCTCCACACGAAGCCGAACGGGTCTCGGAACTGTCCGTAGAGCGAACCCCAAGACTGCACTTTCAAATCCATGCAGGTGCTGGCGCCGTTGGCGTGCGCGCGCTTCCACGTGGTCTCAGCGTCCTTCACTTCGAGGTGGAGAACGAGGTTTTCGACGTCTTTGACTTCTCGGCTCTCGCCGTCGGCCAGATAGACCAGCCCCTCGTTGAGGATTGCAGAGCTGTGCATCACTTTGGTGTCCGTCGGAAGCTTGTGCATGATCTGCTGCGTCTTGCCGCCCAGCGCGTTCTCTATCCACTGCAGGTGTTTCTTGCAATCAGGGGACAGGAGGTAAGGAATGACTCCCAGCGAACACGGCTGCTCCTCGCTCGTCGTCATAGCTATTAGTGCGCGGCAAAACGGTAAAGAACGGAACGGCGGCCCCTTTTATACTCGACGGTTTTGCGGTCGGTTTAGGTCGTGCACGCTTGTGCCTGTTTCGGGTGGGGTCACTCATAATGAGCGAGCGCTCAAAATGTTTTTAGCCCGCGGGCCACGAAGAATCCACATTACATTCCACAACAAATTTCAGTCAGGCAGTCTCCTGGGTGAGAGAATGATTGGGCTCACTCGGGTGGTTGGAGGCTCTCCCCCTGCTTCTTCCTGAACTTGACAAACACCTTTTCCAGCCTCTCCAGGAACAGGTCCACCTCTTCCCTCCTCATCCCAATGGCAGCAGCCACCGTAAAGTAGGCTGTGGGGTAGCTGTTGTGGTGGGAGCCCCAGTTGGTGAACACGTGTGGTCCAATTGTCTTGCTCTCTCCTGGAGCAACTACTCTATAGGCCAATACACAGGGTTCTTGCTCCGATATTCCAGGCAATCTATTAAAAAGCTACACACCTGGTCCCTGATACGTTCTTGAGAAACAGCATAGATCCAAACTCAGTCATGTCGCCCTGACTCTGTGCAGCAGTGGAGAGAGTAACCCCTGCAATAATGACAATAGTGATCTGAGATCTGTGTGAACTGTGTAACCTAAGGAAATGGGATTGTGGCTGGTCTCAAGGACTCTCTCTCCGTGCTTGGTACACACTTCTCCTAGCTTCTGCTTCAAGTACACATAGTTCTCCTGGCAACATGATGTTCAGAAACAACTCATATATACTCTGTGCATGAACGGACCTTTCTCTGAGTGCAGAGTTGCTTGTATCCCTTTACCCCGAGGGAGAGTAGAGTGATAAACACATCTACACATGGAGATCCCGAGCCTCGGCCTGCACACAAGGCGATGACGTTAAAGACTAGATTTTGTGACTAGATGGCTGGGGCTGACCAGGGTAGGTCTGTGCCACTTCCTTCACGAACGTCTCGCTGCAGCTTGCCACTACCGAACCACCGACAGGTACAAGAAAGTTCTTGTCGGTACTCTGAATAAACGCGTCCACTCTTCCTTGTCTGTGAGCCTGTATAAGGCAGAACAGTACATACATACATACTCGCCTAAGAATTCTCTTACGTCTTCAATAATGTGCATGCATTTACTGGACTGCACTCCATATGCGTTGTTCACAATGTGCGGTATATCGTACTTTTTGCACAGCCCTGCAATTTCTGACAACCTAAATACACTCTTTTTACACTGCAAAATTGAAAAAGGTGATGACACACTTATCGTAGGCTCTGGGTGCAAAGCAAGAGGTGGTGGTAAAGACACAGGCCACTGTTTCTGCTCCCAGATTCCGTATCTCTTCTTCCACTGCAGTGACGTCCGTTCTAAGCTCATCTCCCTCCAGTACATTCTCCACCACCACTGGCTGAAAACCTGACAGTGATAGTCTCACTAATATCATGCACACACACACACACACACAAAGTGCTCGGCTCCATATCAGACCTGCAGAGACGATGCACTTGAAGCAGCTCTTCTGGTCCACTCGTGGCCAGATGACGTGGTGTGCAGTGGGTCTCTTCTGTCTGAGAGTCAGCAACACCAGCAGAAGAGCCATCCCTGTTGCAACTGGCAGTAGGACACACTTCTGTGCAGACCTTACCCCTGTAATAGGGAAAGGACAATAGACTGAGATGGTACATAAGGGGAGGTGAGAACTAAAAGACTCAGATTATATACAGACCGCTTGCCTGCATGCCTGATGAGGTCCAGCAGGAGAGAGTTGGTAATCTGGGCAATGATGGAAGAGCCTGCTGCCTTGGGCTGGGCTGCAGCTATGTCCCCAGACCGACCAACACCATGAGCCAATCTAATATACACCAGAGACACAGTAGCACTGGAGGCACATTGACGCTGCACCTAAAGTGTCGACGAGCCACCAACTCGGAAAAGACCCTCCCTTCCCTCTCTCCAACTCCAACATTCTCTGTAGAAGAGTCAGATACGTGTGCCTAAGCCTTGGATGAAAGACGTATATACCAGGGAAATTGTTGCTGTCCATGAGAGCAAGCTCCTGGAGGAGGAGCTCGATTCTCAGATTGCTCCATCCTTCGTCTGGCAGCTTCCGCTAAGTTTTGGGGTGAGGAGGGGTAGGGCACAGTTGGTGAGGGTACCCATCACTGCCTCACCTGTTCAATCAGGACTCTAATGTGCCTCTCGTGAGTTCTCCTGGCGTCCCTGCCCTGCTGAACAGACGTGGTGGTTGGCACAAGCCTGCACGCTGCACTGTATGCAGACTCGTTCATTTTTTTTTGTTATGCCCGACACAATTTTAGATAATCCTAACAATTTTTACGCAGTAAGCCCGGCGAAAATACCGCGGAACGGGGAGTCATGTGTTGATCGATCGAGAGAGGATGATCTCTGTGCAGGTTGATTCGTGGTTCTCTGCCGGCGTGGTGGTGTCCTTTGTGGACGAGTACGGCGTGGAGTACCGCGGGGCCCTTCTCAAGAGAACCGGCGAGTGAGTGCAAAGCGTAGTAATCCACTGGCAACTAAAGGAGTTTGCTTGTTCTCCCATAAGGACGCCCGAGTTCAAACCGTCTTTCCGTGGGCTGGCCAGCCCTGTGTCCGTCCTCCATGATCATCCATATAGCCAACTAGTGAGGAAGGCTTGGAAGAAACAAGTCTCTGCCAAAATGTGCGACTGGAACCCTACGCACTTCGAACTCACCCCGGAAGACATTGTCTGCAGGAGAAACGGCGTCGCGACGAACTTTGAAAGGAGAGCTGTGGTAGAGACTGACTGGAGTAATAACCACAGGGGAGGCAGACGTGCCAAGCATCTTGCAAAACTGAGAATCAACAACGTTTTGGATAAGACACTCGCCGTAAAACCCAAAAAGAAAACATCTCGACGGCCTAACAAAAAAAGACCAAAACTGAAGCCAAAAAGGTCCAGAGAGGACCTCAGAAGTCCGACTGAGTCGTCTTCGTTCTCTTACACTCCACTTTCCTCTCCGCTTGGACGACTGGACATGTCTCCCTCCTCTCTCCTCGCCCACGCTCGGAACTGCAGCGTTGGACTCACTCCAACAAACACTGCCGGTGTCTGCTCCCCTCTGTGTGTGCCCTCACAGGTAGAATACTCGGAATCTGTCAGTAGCTCTGGAGGTCTCAGCAGTAGCAGAGCCTCCAGTGTATCTCCGCCTCATCAGGTGGTAAGACCCTTCTCTATCTCTCTGCAACGAATCTCACCTGCTCAGCTGACTCACTCCATTTCTACTATTGTCGTGGAGTGATCCATTTTACAGTACTATGGTTGACACACCCCATTTATACAAGCATAGGGGAAAGTAATACAGCACAAGATTTATTCAGCAGCACATCTTTTTTCATCATTTGCATCTTTTTGTATCTTTGAGCACTGAACATTATCGTTCTATTGTCACAGAGCAGCTATTACACAGCTTTCATCGGGCCATCGATTTTTCATTGATGTTATAAGCATCATTCAGAATAGATGTATGCTATCTTTTGAAATTGATAGAGTAGCCTCCGGTGTTGGGATCTTGCTGGAATTGGAAGCTGTCTGTTGATAGTCCAAACGGGTTGAGCACGGCATTCCCCAACTCCTTCAGTTTACCTGCAAATAACCCATCAGCCTTCCAAGTTCATTACACTCCGACTAGTTTAGCTAAAGTCAGCTGATTACGCTCACCTAGCATTTCTTCCTTGAGTTTCTCGCGCTGCTCTGAAATTTTCTCCGGCAGGTACTGATGTTAACGAGTTAGTAATAACCATCAACGAAACACTTGTGGAATTGAAATGCCCCTAACCATTAGGGCTCTTCTTGCCACCATCTGAGAGGGATCCAACTCCAGTACTTTCTTGTAGTCTGAAGAAACGACACAAAAACTCTACAATTTTTCATTCCCGGCTCTGTGTGTACCTTCTAGAGCATCCTCGTACTTCTCCAGAGCCTCTTGTGCCTGTGCCCTCCTCATGTAAGCCTTCATGTAGCCCTCCTTCAGTTCCAGTGCTGCATAACAAGTACTGAACTTGGCCACTCCAAGTTTCTAGTGCAGCATTATAACGTACCTTTAGTAGTGTCATCAACCACACTCTGATAGTCCTCCTGAATGTTTAAGTGTATGTACACATGTGGAAGAGTCCTTCTATTCCGGAGACCGAGAGTGTGTTCTTTTTTTTTACCAGTTTGAGGTGGCAGGCGGCTCTGTTGGCGTAGCACACGGCAACCTCGTGTGCACAACCAGAGGACGGATATCTCTCTATTGCAGTCGTATAGCACCCTGCAGCCTGCTGCATACTCTGTCGTCAGACCAACATGATGAAAGTAAAAACAGAGTCTTTAGGTCTAATGCACCTCCTCTTTTGAATGTTTCGTTTCCAGTCGCTTTCAGCCGGCCTGCTTGCTCCTTCCGCTCCTTGGTAAAATCATCATATGGAATAATAAGTCCTCAATGATAGGGATTTCTTGTTTTACCGCGATCTCCTCGTCCGTTAACGATTCTTCTGGTGCCTTTTCGGCTACCTTTTCTGTCGAGGAATCTTTGCTCTCGCTCTCTTTCTCCGTCAGCGTTGCTTCCTGCAAACCTCTCGAAACATCCGCAGCGTCTGTTGTGGTGTCCCTCTCTTCCGTGACCGCCGCTTCCCTCTCCTCCTCTGCCGAATGGTAGTCTTCGTCTTCCGAACCCGCGGCGGACATCACTCACACACACTGCGCTCTAACTAGAAAACGCTGAATCAGCACAAAGCACGGCAGCAAATTTTTTGTCACATAATTGCTGCGGTGGGGTCAGATAAAAAAGAAAACAAAATTGCTCTGTACAGACAAACATTAGCTCATTCATTATGTATACATCACTGGCATATTCGTGCACCAACAACAAATGATTCTAGAAGGTCTTTTGATCTATGATTCGTGCTCCATTGTCATCGATATTCCTTCTTCGAGACCCACATCTTCTTGAAGGTGTCCAGTGCAGCGAGAATGGAGCCTCCCATCCAGGTGGAGTAGAGCCGGTCCTGAGGGGCTGATATCCTGATTTTGACGTCCTTTGGAGTCAGCTTCTTGATCTCTGAGAGTAACCGGTCACCGAATCCTTGGGAAAGGAAAGGGAGAGTATCAGATCAACATTAGCTACAATCATAGTATATATATATATATATACTACACCTTTGAAGAGGGTCGAGCCTCCTGATAGGACAATGTTAGAGTAGAATGTTTTTCTCAAGTCTAAGTCTGATCTCCTAATGGAGTATGCCAGCACCTACACAACACACACAGATAAGAGATATATATAGTCACCAGTAGATACGTATGTATTGAGTCACCTCATGGATCCCCTCACTCTCCTCTCCAATGAGGTAAGGATAGAAGAGGAGCTCCGGGGCCCGGAAACTGGCGCGACCAATCTGTTACACAGCCACGACTAATGTCCACATTGCCACACACAACACGCTGAACCAACCTGCACCACAGAGCCGTCTGGCAGCTGATATGGAATGGGGTCCTGGTCAATCTGCTCCTGCAATTTACAGCCACAAATCACACTCAAATGGTAATAGAGCTGAAAACTCACATCTTTCTGAGGATTCAGAGTGACTCGGCATACTTTCTGTGAAACGAAATTGCAGCAGTATATATTAAAAAATCTCAGTTATTTCGTGTTTCAAGTAATGGTTGTAACCTCTTTCATTGTTCTGACAATCTCAAATTCTGAGGTGGTCTTAAGAGAAGGCCTTCTCTTCTCAGGAGGAGCTTCAGGTAGCGGGTGACGTCTCGGCCCGCAATGTCCGACCTCATTATGGAGTGGGGGAGGGCAAACCCCTGGTAGATTGGCACTGCATGCGTCACTCCGTCCCCACAGTCCAGCACCACTCCAGTTGTGCGACCGGTTGCATAGCTATAGACAGGGAACACAACACCCACACAACAATCACAATGACAATAGCCAGGATCTTGGCAGTATACAATAGCCAGGATCTTGGCTACAGATCTATGAAATGTTGTGCCTCGAAGGAAACTCTGTATAAATACAACGGTAGTGTACTTACAGACTGAGGACTGCTTGCATGGAGATGTATAGTGCTGGGACGTTGAACGTTTCGAAGAAGACCTGTGACAAAAACCCACACACAAAGGTTGCGAGTGACTGTAAAGAAAAGAAGTCAGAGTCTACCTCTGCTGCCTTGACTCTGTTTGATCTAGGGTTGAGGGGGGCCTCAGTCAGCAACACTGGGTGCTGGTGGAAAGAGAGAGAGGGGGGAGGGGGGTATTAGTCAAAGGAAATGATTTGTGAAGATTTGTTGCTTACATCTTCTGCAGCTGCCGCTAGCATCTCTTTCGAGTATATGTACTATGGAGAAAGGGAGGCTTCTGTTATAATTGCTCATTCTCTAGATCCCGGGAGAGACTTACTGTCCATATCTGTTCCATGTCGTTCCAGTCTGTCACTATTCCATGCTGCACACAGGAAGGAAGCACCACCATGACATACCACTGGCAACTACGTTGTACTGACACACATCAAGAGACAGTTCCATCCTTACCTCCACAGGATACTTTATGTTCAGCAACCCCCTGTGCTCCTGCAGACACACACACACATACACACAAACATTACACAAAAACACTGAGTCCATTGTGCACACACACTCTATACGAAAATCTCCATACATTCCCTGTGTTTCGGTCTCACTCTAGGGCCAGGTATGTGTTGTTTACCTCTGCCTTGGGTCCCATGAACATGTCTCCTTCCAGCCCTCCTGTCATCACCCGTGCATGCTTCGGTCTCCCAATGCTGTACACACAGTGACGCCATTGGAGTCGGAGCAGATACTTGAAGCAATGGAGCTAGCGTTGTGTTTCTCACTCACTAGCTGTTGAAGTGAACCTTTGGATAGTCTTCCCCAGCAAAGCCAGCCTTTATGACCCCAGATCCCTGCACAAACGCAATAATAGTGTGGAGGGAGAGTGGTACAAAGGTATCTCCATCTCTCTACGGCGACCTACATTGTCTATGACGATGGGCTGACTGGCTATCACGTCGTAAGACATCCCTCTCCTCCTTCGCTCGCTCGGCACGCCTCTGGAACTAGCCCTGATCCACCACTTCCCTTCAAGTCAAGGCCCCTACTTTTTCTCTACTTTTTGCCGATGAGCTCACGTGCAAGAGGCGGGGCCGTATTGTGGTGCGCACTAAAAATATAAATTCTAGCTCTACCTCTGCTAATGAATCCGAGCTCCCGTGCGCCTCTCCAGAGGCAGTTGGCCGTAGAGATATCCACCAGATGTGTCCTTCTTATCATTCTTTAGTGAGCTTTTCGACGCCCAGCTGGCCTGCATAGGTATATACTTTCTACCTGCAGTGGACTAGAGTTCGCTCGCCCGTTTCAACGTGTTATAAAAGAAGAGGAGCTCTGGTTATACAAGAACCCGCTAGTTCCCGAGAGACTGCCCGTGACCCTCTTACTGGTAAACCTGCCAGAGCACATGCATCAGACATGTTGTCGGCTTGTTTGTCTTTCTACCTCGTTGACGCATGCCTCTCTCGTCACTCACAACCTCCACCTCAGACAGTGGGGATTGGTGTGCCAGTGGCGTTCGTGTTCCTCCACTACCTCACCACTGGAGACAGACTGGACCTGGTTCATGCCCTGCTAACAATTTCCCTTACGGTCCTCCTGACTGGGATTATCACTGACCTCATAAAGGTCTCAGTGGGAAGGTGGTTCATTTTGGACGCCTCTAACGGAAGTGTGTGTCGATCTTACTCCTCGCAGACCACGGCCGGATTTCTACTACCGTTGTTTCCCGGACGGTCAGGTGTCGTCTGACTTGGTTTGTCTCGGTGAGGCAGATGTGGTCGAGAAAGGAAGGAAAAGCTTTCCCAGTGGCCACTCCGCATGTGAGCCAACCAAGAGAAAGATTTTTCCAGATACATGTCTTCGCATACAGGGGCATTTAGCTGCGGTGGATTCCTGAGCCTCTACCTGAGTGGGAAACTGCATCTGTTTGGTCCGCAGGGGAGGGGGCAGGCCTGGCGTCTCTGTGCGTTCCTCACTCCCCTCCTGACGTCCTGTGTTGCATCCCTCACCAGACTCCAGGACCACAAACACCACTGGGAAGGTAGAGCAGCTCACTATCTACTGCTATTGTATATATGCCCCACAATATGACTCTGTCTGGGCTGTCAACCCACAGATGTGGTGGCTGGTTGCGTAATAGGTGAGTCCTAATGATGAGAGTGAGAGAAAGGGGTGAAGTTTATAGTTCCTTGTTCTCTGTTGCATATAGGTGTGGTGGTGAGTCTACTATGCTACCTGCAGTACTACCCCAGTCCCCTTAGTCCTCACTGTGACTCTCCACTCACTAACAATGGTGCCTACCACTTGGCCCTATGGACTCCACACACCAGGAAGAAATACTACGCAACTCCGCCTGCTCTAAACGCCGTGTAGAGCAGAAACCTTTCATCTATATATCCTCCTGGTTTATGACATGATTATAAAGAATATTCAAGACACGGAGAAAGTTTCTGCACTTGTTCTGGCTGAGCCGCGTCAAGCTTAAGAATGCCACGCCTCACAGTTTTCCAGTCAAGGGAGAGGGAAGGGAGTATGTTGTGGACGATGTGGCAGTGGTCTCACTCATCGCCGTTCAGATTCTGGAGCTGTGCCTGCAGCACTGATGTCTGCTCCACACTGCACAAAACAGGGAAGTGTGCAGTTCACTAGAGTATAGAGTGGAAACTAATACTACATACCTTCTTCCAACTTCATGGGCTCTGCAAGAAAAACAGTAGTGAAGGAATGAAAGTTTGAAATATCAGGCCTACTGGTCCAGAGATCTCTCCACAAGTTTTTCGATATGTCGAAGATTCTGAGGAGGACAATGTGATAGGTGCAACACTTTTCACTGGTCGACAGCTCACGTTCAGAGTATTTTCCATCGTTCCTTCCTGGGCTGCCATTCTCTTGGCAGCCTTGAGCAACACCTGAGTAAAAGAGCCGTCGTAGCTACCGGGCAGAACAGTCATTATGTCTCTTACCTCTCTAGATCCCGAGCGCTGGCACAAACTCCTGAACAGCTTGCCGCTCTCTGATACGTTCTGCTCAATGAGTTGAGTCAGTCTCGCCTTCGTAGCGTTGCTGGGCTGTTTCCCTGGACCGCCCTCCCCCGACGTGCTAAACAAATCCGCCATTTTGTTTCGCTACGGACGGGGTCAAAGTGCCTGCAAAAATTAGACGCTGCGAAAAAGGTAAAGATGTCGTCGACAGTGGCCGCTCAGAAGTTAACCAGGGAAGACTGGCGGAAGAAGAAGGAACTAGAGGAGGCCAGAAAGGCCGGTACGGCGCCGGCAGAGGTCGACGAAGAGGGGAGGTGAGCGGAGTCCGGGGAAAAGCTCCTATCATCTCAACCGTTTCGTCCCTTCCTTTAGAGACATCAACCCGCACATACCGCAGTACATCAGTCAGGCGCCGTGGTATGTGAGCCTGGGTCGGCCAAGTCTGACACATCAGAGGCCCCAGGAGGAGAAGCAGAGACAATTCAGTACCATCAGCGAGTGGTACAAGAAGGGTGTGAAGGAGGGACCCAAAGCCACCAAGTTCAGAGATGGAGCCTGTGAGAACTGTGGCTCCATGACACACAAGAAGAAAGACTGTTTGGAGGTGAGGAGGGAGAGGGGGAGGGAGGGAGTGTACGTGTCACATGTGCTGTGCCTGACACCACCATTATCTGCTGTCTTCTTAACAGAGACCACGCAAGACTGGAGCCAAGTACACGGGGAAGGATATCGCCCCAGATGAGCATGTACAACCTCAGCTCTCCTTTGACTGGGACGCAAAGAGGTTAGTATAGTACGCTCCAAAGCATGTAAAAGAGTTAGCGACTGTAAACCAGGGACCGATGGAACGGGTACAATCCAGACAGCCACAAGGAGGTGGTGGAGGAGTACAAGAAGATAGAGATGGCCAAGAGGAAGCTGAAGGAGGAGATGTTGGAGGGGGTTCTGTCGGGGAAACTACCAGAGTCGGCCATCGTCAAGGTGAGAGAGAGAGAGGAGGAGATGCAATTTTATTTAATGTAAATTAATACAGGAGGACAGTGACGACAGTGAGGATGAGGAGAAATACGCCGACCAGGCAGACATGTGGGGACAGAAGTTTGACTCCAAGACTCGGACCACCGTCAGGAACCTGAGGATCCGCGAGGACACCGCCAAGTACCTCTTCAACCTGGACATCAACTCGGCCTACTACGACCCCAAGACACGCTCCATGCGAGAAAACCCGTTCAATTCCAACGCAGGACCTGACACCGCCAAGTACCCTGGGGAGAACTTTGTCCGACACACTGGCGACATCAAGAAGTTTGCTCATGCACAGAGTGAGACACTCTTTCTTGTCAAACTTCCCTGTGGTAGTTTTTACCCTAGTTGACTTGATATAGGTTATACATAGTTTGCTCTGCGTGTACTTGCCGTTGTTGTTGAATGCAGTGTTTGCATGGGAGGCATATGAGCATGGCTCTGACATCCACCCCCTGGCTGACCCCACAAAGCTGGAGCTCATGCACAGTGAGTTCAAGAACAAGAAGGAGAACTTCAAGGGAGAGCAAAAGAAGAGTATCCTCGAGAGGTACGGAGGGGAGGAGCACCTGGATGCCCCTCCCAAGGCACTACTTCTAGCACAGACGGTGAGAGAAATATGGGACTCAATGTGAACAAAGCTGTTACGACGTGTGTGTGTGTGGTGATGTCTAGGAGGAGTATGTTGAGTATTCTCGACTGGGGAACGTGGTGAGAGGCCAGGAGAAGGCAGTGGCCAAGTCAAAGTACGATGAGGACGTGTACGTCAACAACCACGCCTCGGTGTGGGGATCCTTCTGGCGAGAGGGACAGTGGGGCTACGCCTGCTGCCACTCCCTCGTCAAACTCTCCTACTGCACTGGAGAGACCGGGAAACTGGCACAACTGGTGAGTATTATATCTTATGACTGTGTCTAATGCTTGCGCACAAGTTAGCCTCGTTCCCAGGCCTTCCCTACATGTATGCGAGACGTTAACTTGCTTTCAACTGTCCCACGCGTTCAGTACCATAGCCTGCACCAGCCACCAGCTAGGAACAAGGCTGAGGTGGTTGCGTTGACTCTATGTATGTATGTGTGTCTCGCGTATGCACAGTCTTCTCAGTTTACGGTGGTGTCAGAGAGTAAGGGGGAGAGGGACGAAGAAGAAGAAGGTGAGGGGGAAGAAGAGGCTCAGATGTCTCTGTTGGAGCAGCACAAGGCCAAACTGGAGGCCAGTGGGAAGAAGAAGAAGAAGGAGAAGGGGAAAGAGAGAGACGAGCAGGAGGCAGAGAAAGCTGCAGTGAGAGAAGAGAAGATCAGAAAGGTATGGCGCCAAGTGAATCCTTGCTTATTTCAGATCCTACTACTGAATGTATGTATGTATGTATACAGGCAATGGTTGAGCAGGAGCGAAAAGAGAAGGAGGTGGATGCAATGATGACCATTGAAGAGAGGAAACGCCCCTATCACTCCATGCGGGCTGAATCTGGACGCGAGCCGACAGAAGAAGAAATGGAGGCTTTCCGACTGAAGAGAAGAAGAGCTGATGACCCCATGGCTAAATTCCTCAAATAACTCTCTCAATTTAACCCCACACCCCGGTTGTTCTGTCACCCGATTATGTCATGAACTTTTTGCTTTATATGTGCTAAAATACCATTGGACGTATTTGCCTGGCAGGACTAAGTCTTCTCCTGACGTTCTCAATTGATCCAGGCAGTGTGAGTTGCTCCAGCCACTGGAGTCCAGTGAGTGATGAGTTGAGGTGCCTGGTGTTGTAGTCTGATCTCAGGAACCAGACTGTGGACCTGGCGTTGTGTTTGACCTTCCACGACGCACTGTGCCCTCCGCCCGACTGATGCCAGATGACAATGTCCGTGGTAGTGTCGGTGTCCAGTGAGCATGACTTCCTGCAGACGTACTTGCGAGGCAGGACGGCCACCCTCACTCCGTCACCATTGGTCCCCACACTGGCATGGCTAAATTGGTTCTCCTTGGAGCCCCACTGCAGCTTCGACTTAAACAGAGCAAAGTTTACTCTCTTTTGGTTGTCAGTCGTCTTGTCCATTTTACTACTGTGCATCACGTTCCACAAAGTCTCTGAAAACATGAGAAGGTCCTCGTAAATTTAATAAACAGCAATGGAATGTATAGGGGCCTACCCATTTTCTGTGTCCCTCTCAGTAAAGCTGCTCCCATGCACAGTGTGAACCCCCAGGGCCCGCGGCCAAGCTCAAACGGCAAAACACCTCGAGCAGTTACAACATCGTAGTCAGAGTAACCGTCAAAGACGAGATGAGGGTTCTTGAGAGGTACTGCGTCGGTGTCTAACTGGAGTACGTCGAACCCCCAGTGGTTGAGGAGACGGATGACTGCAAGTCTTGTCATCCAGACCATCGACACTCCCTTTTTGAGTTTCTTCAGCACAGAGTTGTAGGGGATGTACACACAGGGAATCTTCCTCACAGAGAGCAGGGAGAAGACGGCTTTGTCGAATGCCAGTACAAGCACGTTTTCGATTGGTGGCTCTGTCAGTCTGTGGGCTGCAATGAGCCAGTTGAGTAGGTTGGGAATGAACGACTTTGTAGCCACTGTGATTGTGAGTGAGTGTGCAGGATTGATGGAGGTGAGATAGTCTTTTAGCTGATGGACCCAGTCTGCATTCAGAATCTTTTGTGTCGACAGAAAGACCTGAGGATGAGGGAAGTTGAATTCTTTCTGTACGGAGAAAGTGATAGACGAATGCTTGCTTGAGGCTTTATCATAATCTTTGTTGGTCACCCCAACTGGCGTGATTTCTTCGTTTTCTTCTTCTTTATCATCTTCGTCGTCTTCTGCAATCAGGGGCGATGACTCCATCACAGAATGTGCGTACTCCAAGTCGTAATCATCTACCTTCGTATTATGATACTCGGGAGGAGAGATTTGTGGTGACGAATCAAAATGAGACTCTTCAACCTTTACCGAGTTTGAAGCAGCCATATTTTGTGGGACCATAATATGCCTCCTCTTCACGTACACGGCCACCATCTCGTGAGAGAAGAGGTAAAATATCCACAGTAATACGACCAAGGAGATAGTAGTTGAGAAGCAGAGCACGATCCGTCGAGGCGACACGCCGCGAGCGAGCATCCCCATCGCCGGGATCCGAGGAGACGGAAAACTATGCTACCGACACCTGCATGGAAGCGATGTCTGCAGCTTGGAATGACGACGAGCGTACTTCCATGGCTTTTCGGTCCGATCTGCTTCGTCGTCGTCGTCGTCGTGGCGAGTTCCGACTTTCGTGCGCATGCGCGGATCGAACATGTGAAGAGAAACTGAAATAGATAGCGAGGCGGAGAGCACACACAGAACATGCAGCAAGGAACAATATAACACTGATGCTATGAATCAGAAAAAGTGCTTTTTCCGTTTGCTCTGAGCCCTCACGAACCACACTCCGCCCACCACGGCCACCACTCCAATCACCAGTAGCAGTAACATCCCCGCCGAGATTGCCCTGTACATGTTTGGACCGAACCACGGAGGAATGGTGTCCACGTGAGCTACAGGAGAACAGAGAGAGAGAGAGTTCGGGTATATATTGTATAGCAGGTGACTTTCAAGAGAGTAAAGTTACGCCATTCGGTAGTAGTTTAACGGGGGAAAAACTGCACAGAGTCCTGGTCCCTCAATACAAATTTCCTCACTTACAAAATGTGCAGAAAATTTTCACGGATGGTTGATAAACCGCGGAAAAGAAAAGTGTATGTCAATTTGACTCACGCCGAGGTGCCTCTGCATCTTTGGCATGAGGGACTACAGTTGACCAGTCCAGTTCCTGAGAGAGAGAGAGGGGAGAGTGTACTACTACTGACTGTGGTGATGGGACACTCACCTCAGCAATGGTCCCTCCCTCCTGCACTCCTCCAATATCATAGGTCTTGACTGCAATGATGTCGTGGTTGTCTGAGAGAGGGGGAAAGACAAGAGGGAGCAGCAGTGCATCATTTCTTTACATGGCTCTTAGTAAAAAATCTTCAACTGATGTCTATTCATACAGAAACAGGGGAGTTTCGGTCCTTGTAATATGTACACAGTTAAACCAGACTCTCTGAATAAAAGGGCACCTATCTACAAAGGACACGGCCCCATACTAGTGTATGGAGAATAACAGATGCCTCTGAAGAAAGGACACTTGATTGTGGTCTTTATTCAGAGGTTTCACTGTGTGTATATAGTATGGTATATACCAGCCAGGTCTCCAGTAGCAGCAGAGAAGCCGAGGTAGTAGCCAGTCGGCAGGTCCACGCCTGACACCATTAAACAGTGCTCCCACTCTGAGCTTCCGTGGATATTGGACAACACCTGCACACAAACAGCTAGGATCACAGTACACGTCCTAATACGGAGAGAAACGTTAAAGGGAGAGACCATTCGCACAATTCACACAAGATAATGCTTGTCCCCTGTAAACCCTATAGTTCTGTAGACACGGCTCCAAAAACGTGCAAAATTCTATAAAGGTTTCCAACTGTAATAAGTAAGGTAGTATTTATAACGAACTGTAAGTGTCCTGTCGATGTATGTGACAGCCACAAAAGTGTCGTGGGGGGAATTTCTGAACAAGACCTGCAGAGACACACAGAAGCAGTTTGTGAGTAGGGGTCAGCGTGTGCGTGTGTGTGTGTGGTGAGTGACTTACGGTGCAGCCGGCGACCTGACTGTGGGTCCCGTCTCTGTCGTGGTCGTAATGCATTGAGCCGTTGTTTATCATGGCCGATATGTACGGGTGTTCGTGCTGTGTGTGAGAAAATGTAACATTACTTCAATTGTAGCTATTATAGCTATGGGTGACTGTGTGCACAGAAACCATGCAATTTTGTGCACAGATCACAAATATTTATATCTATGAGTGAGCCCAAAAGTCAGAGGCAAAACACAAAAGTAGTAGTGCGGGAACACAGTCACACATGATATTGCAGTGGCAAGGCATAAGTCTGATGATAGGGTGTGTTGGTAGATCAGGACACTCACTGTGTGGTCTCCATTGTAGTTACTGTAAGTGTCAAAGAAAATCCCAAGACCTGTGAAATAGTCTGAACTTCCAAATATTGGACCTACACACAAGGTAAGAGACACACACGTGACAACAGAAATGGCCCAACAGGAAAACCAGTCGGGGAAACAATACTATACGAGGTGTTGCATTCACTCCAGCTTCTTCTCTTACCGAGGTTTCCCCTGTTTTTGGTGTACCATAGAGCAAAGCCGTCTCCAAACAGGTTCTGACCCTGACCATGTACACTGAACTGGACCACCACCTCCCAGTTGTGGACACGAAATGGCTGTTTGGACGAAGACAGGTAGAGGGGGAGGTGTGTGTGTGTGTGTGTGTGTGTGTGAGGGAGAGAAAGAAGAGTAAGTGACAAAGCGAGAGAGAGAGAGAGAGAGAGAGAGAGAGATGGTCGGTGCAGCGACAAACGTACCACAGGGTTCCAGAGGTTGCCCTGTTTGCTCTGCCTGTCTGGAGTTAGTCTCACATACGAGCTGGTCACGACAGATGCCCCACCAAACTCCCAGTACGGGATCTCTAGACCTGTACCTGTATATACAGCGGAGCGGCATATTACTCCCTTAGTTGGCACGTAGGTCGTCCTACCTTGGTATGGCGCCGCGAGGGAGTGCTGCCTCATGAGGTAGCCACTCTCCGAGCTCATCACGTTCTCCGCACACCCTCCGGGAGAAGACACCCACGCCACCAACACACAGCAAACCCACAACCGAGGCATGCTCTTTCGCTCAGGCCACCAACTAGCCTTCTTCCTCAACTCAAAGGTCGCGACCTCGCGAGGGGCCCTGCGCATGCGCATAGAAATGTTACATAATCATAACAAAAATCATTGACTTGTGATCTTCAACCTCCGGCCAATTTCCCTTCTATAGAGCTGTCTCTCAAACTGAGCACTCTCTGATGTCTTGTTGTACTCATTGGCACGTCGAAGGAGGAAGGGAATAACGTCCTTCACCTCTCCAAAGGGCAAATATTTCTGAACGGTGTAGCCTCTCTCCACGAGGGCGTAGGCAATGTAGTCTGTCATGCCAATGTGCTGGCCAAAACATACGGCATCAGTGTTACTGGGAATCCCTAGTTCCTGCATCAACCGGACGGCTCGCTCGACTGATTCTCTGTTGTGAGTGGCGACCAGGAATCCTCCTACCCCAGACTCCGGGGTACCCCGAGCTATTTCCTCCAGGACACACCGCACACCCCGGTCATAGTTGGCGTCTGTCGCCTCCTTTGAAGGGTGGATGGGTACTCTTGACCTGTCTCTTCAGCTATCTCCTTCTCGTTGTGCATGTAGGCTCCTCGCACCTTGACAGGACAGAGTCAGGTAGCTAACGACCCTAAAAAAAAATGTTGCATGTACCAATTTGGCTCCATAGCGAAAGCCTGCAATCTTGGCAGCAGAAATATCAACTAGCAGGGCTTCCAGAGACCTCTGTGTTCAACTCAACTCAAGATAATATTGATGACTGGGTTAGTATATTGCATATATACCTTGCGGTACATTTGGATGGTGTTGTAGATGAAAGGTTTGGAGGTGTTGAAGCGAGGCATCATGTGGTGGACAGTGAGGTGGTGTATTGCTGGCTGGAGTCTGGACTCCTCTGCATCCATTAGCACCCCCACTCCCTCCCTCACAGCACACTGTTATACAACTATCACAAAGTTCTGTCTATGTATATATTATATACCTCCCCAATTTTGTCCAGCCTCTCAGTGAGTCTTGCTAACTGCTCCTTCTCAGTGGCAGTCCAGGGAGACACCTCACAGCCTCGGGCCTGGAGAGAGAAAGAGAGAAGAATCCAAAAGTATCTTCTTTTCCCATTCTGAATCTTTCCGCACCTGACTGGTCTCCTCCAATTCCTCGCCCACCTTGAAACGACTCATCCGTTGAGCGACTTCGATTCGTTTTCTATGACATCATAGTGGCATCATTAAAAAAATTATTACTCATCGTGACTCACTTCTCTGCTGCTTCAGTTGGCTCACCCAAATCCTGAGAAAAGAGAGGAACAGATTTTAGTGGTAAAATAGACCTGCAATTAACAGACCAGCCATTCCACTTGGCATTGAACTGCTCCCAGCATTTGGCTGAGTTTGAACTGGAGAACGGGGATAGGTAGTAACTGATTGTGGTTGAACTGGTTTGCAACAGGTTTGGTGGTATAGGTTTGTGTGTGAAGTGCTATCAGTTAACCAGTATGTGAGGCTGCACAATTGCGGTCACTTTGATTGCTGCCATCTTGACAGGGCTCTCTAGGTAGTTGTGCACTCCTGCAATGGGGGAAAGAAACTTACCAATCATTATCATCGGCTGTGCTGTAATCATACCTGACAGACTAATGGTCTTGAGGTAGCGCTCAGTCACTTCGTCAAATTTGGCCTCCTGTTGACTCAGCCCAACACCCTTCTCACTAATACCATCATTCACCAGTATCACACATTTCGACTCTCACTCCAGCCACCTCACCTGAGGTCTTGCTCCACAGAGAAACTCCAAATGGAGCACATATTCTGCTCCGCCATTCTCTGTGCCACGCCTCTGGCCTCGTCCTCTGAGAACCCTCCCATAAACTGGCCGCCGATCGAAGCTCTCAGCAATTGCCGTGTGAGACCAGGTCCCAGTAGTCTTGTGGACACATTGAACAACTGTTGACATACCCACACAAAACACAGGCAGGTTTATCATGAGCGCTCGATCTGAACCAGAGTGATATGTGGATTAGGAGTTTGACTCCACCATGGTCATTTCACTCTCTTATTGTCTATATTCACCCGTCTGGCGCATAACAAAGGCACTCGTCGCGGCGAATTGCGGCGGAACTGCAGGGTGAATTATCTAATAATGGCTTACCGTGAGACTGTTGCGAACAATCCAGTCGAAGCTGAGCAGTTTGAAGACCATCCAACTGCGCACGACCTCCCCCAGCGACTTGGCGGCCAGCACGGACGACGAGTGAGGGGAGAACGAGCCGGAAGCGGAGCGAGCGCTGGTGCAGTATAGACGTCCCTCCCGAAAAAGACCTGCAGTCCCTCGCATAAGAAAACGACCGTAACCACTCATTTTATCGTTTCTACGGACACAGTAAAACCACGTAGAGCTAGCTAGGTACGTGTGGCGACGTACGTCTCTTCGGGAGATACGCGCATGCGCACTCAAGCAGCTTAGGAACGACCGACTATGGACGTCTCTGTCCGGAAAGAGCTAAGTGATCTCGTGGAGAAGATGACACACTCTGGGTCGCCTTCTTTGGACGACACGCAGCTAAAGAAGCTGAAGAGACTGTGCAGGTCAGCTAACGAAGCTCCAATCTGACGGTGTACGATGTCCGATTGTTTTACCTCTCCAAAAGGTCGTCGGACGCCAACGTCCGTGCTGTTTATGAGCTTTTCATGGCCGATCTGGCCAAGAAACACGCCGAAGTACGGTTGTCTGCCTTTCAGATCGCGGCCGAGCTCTTCCCTCGTTCGCATCTCTTTCGGCAGCTCCTCACTGGCGAATTTCAGCGAGTGGCGGAGCTTGTGACGGGCACGGAGTCGCGACACCCACTCCCTCCTCCGGCCCCCGCGGCCAGCCGACTCAAGGAGACCAGTCTCCTAGCCATCCGTCAGTGGAACGAGAAATTTGGGGAGGGTTACCCCAAACTGAGGCTGGGTTTCAACCATCTCAAGCACAGCAAGAAGGCAAGCCTCTGGCTCTCCTTCCTCAGTGTACGTATATAGCATCGCCGTGTTTTGTTCTGTGTTTGTGTGCAGGTGGATTTTGAGCGTCTGGTGGCACAAACGGAGGCAGTTCGTCGACAGAGCACGGCCAGAGATGCGCGGAGAGACGCCCTAGCCCAGCAGAGACTCAGTGAAGTTCATGCCGAGATTGCTGGTAAACAATCACAATTTCTCACACTACTAACACAGACTTTACTCTCCATTCAGATCAGAAATATGACATTGAGAGTGTTCTGAAGGAGATGGAGTCGTGTTTCGATATTCTCGTCCCGAGATTTTTCCCCGAGGAAGAAGAGTGCCTACCATCACTCCAACGAACGCCGACAAGAGAGACTTTGGCAGAGGCTGGCAGTGAGAAGGCGGAGTTTCGTGGACGTGTTCTGAGTTCGGATGGTTCATTTGCCTCTCTTGAGAGTGGTGGAGGGAGCGAGGGTGGGGGTGAGGGAGAGGAGGGGGAAGATGATGCAGGGAAGGGGGTTAAGGAGGAGGGTAATAAGGGTGAGAAGGGTGCAGAGGATGAAGGCGAGGTTGGTGAGGAGGGAGGGAGTGAAAGTAGTGATGAATCGGATGTCGAGTGGGAAGAAGTTGATCCTCTTCCTGGGCCGTCCTCTCTGAAGGAGAATGGCTTCGTCTATCGGGGAACTAACATCTCCATACAGCTACCTACCAAGGTCAGTGCATTATATCAATATTCATTTTTAATGATTAATGATGTAATGGTGATGTCGGTAGATTCTGGTAGAGGAGACGGAGGACAATACGAGTGTGTTGACTGCTCTGTCTGAGAGCCGCCACCTCCTCAAAGATACCTACCTTCCCAGAGTCAACAGATGGCTCGAGGTACATTATATACATACACTGTATATGTAGCTTTGCTAGGGGAACTAGTATGACACGTGCTGTGTTAATGCAGTGGCTCACAAAGGCAGGGGACGAGAAGGACCTAAAGGAGATGATTGACATAAAGAGCAATATCCTTGACGTGCTAGAAAAACACAAAAAGTTTAACATAGCCATGTCGAAGTCTACGCACTCCGGTGAAGCAGGTGAGACCATATTTTCACGTAAGGGTCATTCTTGTACAGGCCATGCCTACCCTCAGGTCCTTTATCACTACCTCTTTGCCCTTCCCCTCCACACTCTCCCTCCTCTACCACTGACTCTCAGTCCTCCATCATCCACCGCCCCACCACAACCACTGCTACCACGACCAGAGAGAGTCTCCGTTCCAGGGAGAGGGAATTGGAACAGGACCCAACCACTATTCAGGCTCAGCTTGGAGCACTTCACGGGAAAAGGTAATGTTCATGATGCAGACACTGTACGAAGCTGGTACAGCGCATGGCGATATTGACTCTCCACAGCAGTGATGCCAGAGTCCAGGGGATGGCTGAATATTCAAAGCAACAGCTCACTGATGGTAGCGAAGGGCAGACGACAGCTATCTCCAACGTACCCGTGGTCCCCTTTGATATGGATCTCTACCACTGGGACAATTCTGAGGGGAAACCCCCACCCATCAAGAAAGTCTGGTGAGATACTTTGGCAATTAACGGGAGACTATATCTTTGTCTCTCTCTCTCGTTGTTGTGTGCAGTATGTCATCAGTCCACCAGTACTGGGGCTCAGAGCGAGACATTGAGCTGTCTGAAGTGAGCCATACTGTATATACCTCTCCAGCTGGTAATCCATGTAATACTGTATTGTGTTGTGTATATAGGATGAGAAGGCACTGCTCAGATGTAGGACCATCCAGTTCACGGGGAAATTTGAGCCAGTGAAGTGGTCGTGTCGGGCACCGTTGCCCAGTGGGAGACTGTGTCCTCGCAGAGACAGATTCAAAGTATGGGGTCTAGATACTTACTTAGACCACTCATTATATGGTGTGTGTATTCTATAGTGTCCATTTCATGGGCCAATAATTGCAAGAGACGATCAGGGGCGCCCCTCACAGACTGCTACAGATGAACCCTCCACATCGGGCAAAACCTCCACACAACCAGATGCACCTTCTTCTAACATCAGTGAGGCAGACTACAATGACATCGAGGCAGCCGTTTTTGCCTCCAAAGGTAAAAGACAACACGTAACTCTCTGTGAATTTCATCGCATTATTGGTAACTGGTTCTGCTTATATAGGACTTGAGCCTCCGACACAACAAAAGGGAAAGAAAAGAAAGGGAGGTAATTAGCAACAAACACACTTATCTCAACTTGGGAAATGTCAGAGGTGTATGAGTTAATGTATTCTGCTGGATCACCAGGTCGCCAGAAGAAGCATCCTGGACTCACTGATATTGCAGCTCAGACGGACACACCAAGGAACAGGCTGGAGCACCGCATCTTCAGCAAGCGAGCTGTGAAAAGAGTTGCAGATGTGATTGACGCAGCCAACGCCCGGCGCCATCGCGACAAGTTTGGAGACTCGTTTAACTACGCCCTCGAAAAATAACGGATCCCCGAAAGTGAAAACCATAAAGCTCCGATGTTTTTCCCCTCACTCTCCGTGTATGTGCACAGAGGTTAAAATGATATTCTCAAACAAAGATAGCAGATTGCGAGAGAGATCAAAATAATGAAAGACGCACCATCGCTAGCACACACACAGAGCATATATACAACAGATGTACGGAAGAAAGGGTCAGCAAATTCCATTTTCAATGGGATTTTAACAGATGTGACAGTAGCAGTGTCAGTTAGGCGGAGGTGGGCGGTGCAACATTCAGCTTATGTTGTGTGGTAGGTGAGCGAGGTGCAACACCTCTCTGGTCTGTACTCTTTGTCGGCGGTGGCATCAACGGAACCTTTCTACTGCTCTCTGCGACACTGTTTCCAGGCACTGCAGTGTTCTGCTTCATCCTGTTGGTGGCCTGTCTGCTGCCCGCACCGCTTCTGATCATCTCTTCTATCATCTGTTCTTGTCGTGCGAGGACCGAGGAACGAACGCCCGCCCCACCACTTCCACCGTGTGAGCTCTTGGGTTTGAGCATGGAGGGGAAGAAGGTGGCAGGTGGGAGACTAGGTGGGTGGCTCTGCTGGAGGACTGGAGGTAGGGAAACCACTGGTTGGCCATTGCTCATATCAATGACAAACTTCTCCTGGTTATCGAGGCTCTTGCTTGGGAACTTAATGGGAGGATCAGGGACAGCTTTTCGGGGTCGAGTCGTGTGCGACAGTGGTTGAGGTTTCTTGAGTGTGGTGCGGGTCAGCACTACAGGCTTGTCTGGGAGCAGAACCTGTTTTGGTGGAACGGCAGGCTTCTTGGCTCTGGCAGGTGCTGATGGTACGAGTGGAGGTGGCAGCGGTTTCCGTGGAATAGTAGGCACTGGTCGTTCTTTCACCCTCTGGTTTAATCACCGGTTCAGGAGTTGTGGATGGTTTGGCAGTCCCACTGTCCCCCGTCTTGTCAGAGTTCCCCAGCAGGGCCTGGCTCTCGACCAAGTGAGAATGTGCCGAGTCACAGACGGAATTGCGGTCTCCTCTCTCACCGTGAGCCTGGGCCTTGCTCCTCTGAACAACGGGCAAACTCTTCCTGAGAGTAAGCGGCGTCTTTCGTACCTGTTTAGGGTTCTTGATGCACGGTGAATGTTCCCTAGACGATGTTCTGCCACTACTGCCGTCAGATGACGACTCACTGCTAGAGCTGAGTGGTCTGTCCACATGGGAAGGGCTACTCGGCCCTGGCAAAGCTCGTTGGTCAGGGGCCAGGCTCTGATTGGGGGAGGGGGAGTGGAGCGCCGTGGCCTTTGGAGGAGGAGAGGGCCGACTGGGAGGCAGGGGGGCACACAATCCACCTGCAATTGCGTCGGACGGAACAACAGAGGAGTACTACCAATAACAGCATCTGCACTCTGCGTACCTGCTGCAGGTGCTGCCAGTTTTGATGACTCAAACATTGCAATGAATTGGGTGAGTGGAGGTCGCGGATGTCTCCTGCGAGAGCCGACGCTCTTTGTTGGCCCGTGTCTCACCGAGTTCATGTTGACCCGTATAATGTCGAGACTGTCTTCAAACTCCATGGAGCGCTGCAGGTCGAACACCTTTTCAGGACTTGGACTTCGCTGACTTGACCTGCTTTTCTGGAGAGCTGTGGATATATAGACATCAACAGCTGACTGTTAGAGATCACTAATTTGTTTTATACGTACACTTTATCTCTTTGCTTCTCCTGCGAGCAATGCTGGACGGAGTTGCCAGTTGTTCGGTTCTCTACAAAAACCCACTACTAGTTCAATACAGAAAACAATGTTGGGAATTACCTCTTTCTTGAACGATGTGTTGATTTCCTCTGCCACACTTTTCATTTTGCCATGTGCTTCCTGCAATATTACCAAAACGAGTCTCTAAAGGGATGTCTCTGTGTGCATACAAAGGTAAATTGGCTTTCACTATAACCGTCCTTTTTCCTTTTGCGTGAATTACTACACACATGTGACGGGGGAAAAAACAGTGGTGCACATGTACCTTGACATCTTGGTATATAACTGCTTCACTGTCAATATACTTTAACATTTCCTGCACATATATAAACAAAAACCAGTCGTCGTAGTGTGCTGGGTGCAGGCCATGCAGACAACATACGCGGAGCATTAGATGATACTTGAGGATCCGCTGCACTGGCTTGATTAGGTGAGAATGAAGGGGCAGAGCATGCTCTAAATCATTTTGACATTGCTAGATGACAGGTGGAGAAAAAGAAGAGCAACTTAACAGTATAGGGGTTGTGATCATATCATTCTCTCCTCCTCATGCTTCCCACACTTCTTTTACCCTAAATTAGAGTTGAGGCTACTTCATTCCCCTTCTTTTTTGTAGGGTATGACACTTCTTCTTTTGCTACCTGTGTTATTAGAACTGACCGTGATGAACATTTTAAGCTTTTCATTTTCATTCATGGATTTCTGGAGGAAATCGTTGGCATCTGTGTAGTGAATGCAATACTCCCTGTAGTGATCAAAGTCCTGCCAGAGGGAGAGAGAGAGAGTGTGTGTGTGAGAGAGAAAAACAAGACGAGACACATTAAGCTCTGCTCCTAGGTGGGTAGGTAATGCTGAGTCTTGTGAGACAGATGTAGAAAAGATTGCCATAACAACCGAGCATGTCTACATTTCAGCACGGTCTAGGAATTTAGCACCCACTACGGCTACTCCCTACGTACGTTTTGTACCGTTTCAATGAAGACATCAGCAAACTCGTGAGGGTCTCCACATGCAGTGTGGAGTTTATCCAACAGTTCCCTATACACATTGATGCAACGGAGAACCAGTGGGTGTTATAAGTCACAAATGTGGAGCAAGCTTACTCGTGAAGTTGCCTCAGCTTGTTGATGTTGCCAAAAACAGTGTGGATAAAGTTTGGACCTTCTCCCTTTGCTAGCAGATAACCGTGAAGAGGCATCATGTACCCCTGTATATATGCCAGTATGAGAAATGTTTATGTTCAAAACATCCTTGGTTATAGCTAATACAGTGGGGTAAACAGCTTAGCTCAAGATGCAATTATGAATCTCGATACAGCGTTACACAGACAGTCACCCTTACCAAACCCTTACTCTTACTACCAAACATGCAAAAACCATTGTGCTTTGTACTATGAATGAATGCTAGCTAGAGTACTAGTGGAAACGTGAAACAAGGACTTTGACCGGAGAGCCAGTCGTAATCCTCTACAGAAAAAGGCCCCTATATACCAACGGTTACTAGACGAGCTAGCTAGCTAGCCACTCGGAGATTTCTCACCAGTATTATCTCCTCCAGCGACGCAATGTACGCTCTCTCCGTCTGCAGTATTTCGCGCACCACGAAAGTGCACATCTTGGGCCAAGAGTTCATCACCTTCTTCTCCCACTCTGCGTTGTCCAGGTCGATGCCCATTGAGGCTGAGGTCCGGTGCATTGCGCCTATACGGAACGAGAAACGGTCACGTTTGATGGAGGGGCCGGCGGATAAAGCGTCCGCTGCGGGCTGACTAACTACGATGACGTCGGTGGAATAACACTGCGCCAGCGGCCCAGACCGGGACCTCCTAACGGTGGCCATTCTGTGATACTGGCGGAAAATAAAACTGCAGTGCAGATGTTTGTACACAACGGCAATCTCAATCCGCAGGACGCAAGTACTGCAAGTACGCATGCGCAGATCGCAAAGCTACACAATAGATTGAGCCTGATCACATGAATAAACACATCCCAATACCATACATACACGTACATATTACAGCTATACAGAGTTATTATGTGGCAAGGTGATGTCAACTGTCTCTTTTGCTCCTGCTCCCCTTTGCCTTCCCTTGCTCCTTTCCCTTTGGTTGCTCCTTCTTGCCATTTCCTTGCTCCTTCCCCGAGCCTTTGCCCGATGAAGAAGAAGACGAAGTCAGACTGTGACTGGGAGACCCAAACTTGCAGCTAGTCTTTCTGACCGATGGCCAGTCACTGTGTATTTCCTCGGGGACAGCGTTGGTGTGTCTCTCTCTCTTCCCCTCGTCCTCAGCAGAGTTGGGGTTCTCAAACATGCTCACTTTGCTACGCACCAGAGGAGCCACTTCCACCACTGGGGACTTTGTTGCAGCTACACACACCACAGAAAGGAAGGAACAGGAGAGATTTTGTATGAAAGAGAGCTAACTATATTACCGTCTCACCAGTTTCGCTAGAGGGAGTGTTGAGATTCTCAAAGAACGACTTGAGGTCGCTGACCCTGGCAAGATGGTCGTCCTCGCTGCTGGAGGCAGTGGCAAGCTCGTTGGGGTACAAGTCCTCCACAGACATGTGTCGTCGGCCATGTTTCTTCCTGTTTCTCCTCCTCCTGCTCCTCCTGTACTGGACTCGGTCTGCCGTCCCAACCTCCCCCGGCTCCACGGAGATGCTCCTCTTGGAGCGACCGGGCACAGTGAGGAACCTTGTGGTCGTCGGGGAGTTTGGACTGACTGGAGTCATCGTCCTTCTCCGCTGTAGCCCTGTGTGTGCGTTGTGACAGATACATGGGGAAACAACCGAACCATCCACTACACATGCTAAAAGTAAATGTGGAAATCCACGCCATTGAAAACCAATAGGATGCCTTTGTAACATGATATATAGGGATACTAATAATAATAATAATAGAGCCCAAAGTCCTGAGAATATAGGGATACTATTAGTCTTGTTTGCAATTTGGTATGTGTGTATGTCGAACCTTCAACTTCCTTGCTTCTGATTCTGGCAATGGCACTTGGCGTGAGACTTTTCTTCTTGGCCTTAGAGAGAGAGAGAGAGAGAGAGAAGAATAATCAGTGTACAGGGGAGTATATAGCTATAAGTTAGAGATACCGGTTTTTGAAAAGAAGAGTTGATATGCTCTGCAACCTCCGTCATCTTTCTGCAAGCTTCCTGTGTGACAATATCTCTTTTCAAACACGGTGTTTGTGTGCCACGTTTCAGGTTATTAACAAACAAAAACTTGTTATGACGGAAGAGCTATACCAACAAAAATGTTTTTACAAGTTTTACCAACGCAGCAGGAACATGGGATGGTCCCTATAAATTACCTCCACAGTGGAATAGGCCACATGGGACTCATCAAAGTTCTTCACAAGCTCCTGGAGAAAAGGAACACCAGTTAACAACAGAGAGAGGGGAATATTAGGGGGGGCACCTCCAAGAGAAGAGGGTACTTGAGAATCCTCTGGACTGGCTTGATGAGGTGTGAGTGGAGGGGCAGCGAGTGGTCCAGCTTTAATTGACAGTCCTACAGAATTGCAATGTTTGACGTAAAACATACACAGAGTTATGGTGTGGAATACACTGCAAAATGTGTGTGTGTTCGTAAACTCCCATTTCTATAATATACTCAATGTGTTCACACATGTGGTATACACCGCATTCACCAGTATGAAGGTCTGCAGGTCGCTACTACTGGCCAGACACTGCTCCAAGTGCTCGTTGCCTTTACTGTAGTTGGTACAGTACTCTGTGTAGAGCCCAAAGTCCTGAGAATTGGAGCACACAAAGAAATATTTACAACAGGTCACTTTGGACACACGAGGAAAAATGAACAACTTTGGGTGATTGAGTAGTGAAATCTGTGACTCACTCGGTCGAGAAAGAGCTGAGCCAACTGCTTGGGCTTGGAGCAGAGAGACTGCATCGAGTCTAGCAGGTCCCTGAGTCAGCAGGCAATGTTGCAACAGGCCATCATAAGAAAACAGTTTATTGGTATGTTAGAAATGGGCTTGTTTACATTCACAAATCTCAGGGGGAGGCTTCAACTGGTGTGTAAACTATGGCTGTCTGGGAAAAAATCTGGGAGGGAGATTTTTGCAATGTTTGTTGCCACTTTGGAACCGTGGCACAGAATAATGGTATATACCAACATATCTCTTATACAGTGAGAAATACCTGCTAACAGATCTCTACACTGCAATGTAATTGCTATGTGCCACGTGTGAGATTGCAGCACTTTGAAAGGGTGTTTGCTGGAGACGTGCAGTTTGTGCTGTAGAAATGTAATCTGGTGGTAGGCTCACAAGTGGTAGCAGTGTATCTTGACAATGTTGCAGAACACTGTCCGAGTAAAGTTGGGCCCGTCACCCGAGGATAGGAGGTACCCGTACAGCGGCGTGATGTAGCCCTACACAGAACAGCATACTATGTAACAGAGAGAGAACAAGACCGCCACCTATAGACACCCACAGTAGAGTGACATCCTGCGAGCATTGTGCCCATACAAAACTCTCTGCATGCTCACTATAGCAAAGGCCTCATTCACTGACTAATGGTTAGCGTGTGATGTACCTTAATAATGTCTCCTAGAGCTTCAACATAAGCTCTCTCTGTTTCGATGAGCTCCTTCACGACAAACGAGCATCGGTGAGGCCACATTTGGCTAACACTCTCCTCAAAGTCTGCGGCTCTCGTGTCGAAACTGAACACCTGGAATATCGATTCCTGGGTCCTCGGACTGAGCTGCGATTCCACCAGTTCGCCGTTGAGGACCAGCCTAGAGCTCCTCTCTCTTCTCCCACCTCCTCCTACCTCTAGTTGAGCCCTCTCTTTCCCTTCTCTCCCACCCGTAGCTCTGTCCCTCTCGTTGTCTCTCCGGTGCTGGGAAACTCTGGTGCTCTCTGCAGCTCTTCCTGGTCCCGTGTGACTGCAACTGCGAGTCCTGCTGCTCCCTTCGCTTCCACTGACGGAGCTAGGAGACAGAGTCGGCAGGGAATCCCGCAAAGACGAAGCCGCTCCGTTACCCAGGTGCAGACGAGGCGGGATGTTGAGGCGAATTTTCGGCTGCGACGACGACATGGTGCCTGGTTTGTTACTGGTAGGTCGTGTCATCACTGCTGCTGCCATTCCTTGGAGGATTAGTGGAAAGTATAGTAGTAAACTTACTAGCCAACGATCGCAACCACTGCAGTATGGCGGACCACACAGACTATATACGACTAGCTACTAGATCTCTACCGGTCTTGCAGTCTCCTACCTCGTATGCGAGAGTTGCGTCGGCTCAAGTCGAGACTCCAGCCGAGAACCGAGTCTCAATCGCTACGTTCGAATGACAACTCCGTCCAGTGCAGTCTCCTCTTCATCATCGCGCATTCCCGTTTATTACGCGCATGCGCAGCGCGTTTGCGCACGTAAAAAATCGGCAACAAATATTTTTTTTGGCGGACGACACCAAAATATTTCTAGAGTCCCGGGCTAAGTGGGTTCTGAGCCAGCGGTGTAAGGGGTGGGTATCTTGAGTCCAGACGAAGAGGAAGTGGAGGAAGAGGAGGAGGCGTGGTACTGTTCCAGAAGTTTCTTTCCCTTGTTCCCAGCTCGGCCGCAGTAGTGACGCATGCCTCGATAGAGTCCCAGACTCTGGAGGTAACGGGCATACTCCAGGAATACCGCCTCAATGACTGCAGCTGGTTAGACAGACAGACGGAGGAGTAGAGAGGGAAAAGAAATTAATAGAGGAGAGGTGTTGGGTCAAGGAAAAGTGTGTTAGACCACTGGAAACAGGCCACGTGTCACACTGAATGACAGCTGTCCAGAGCTCCGCATCTTTTTTCTCTTGGCATCACATGGTCTAATACATTCATGCAAATGGGAGCCACCGACACAGGAGACGCAGTGTCAACACCATTCACTGCTCCGTGAATGGAGTTTTGAAACACCGATGAAAAGCTAACCATCATTCTTTCAACACACAAATTGTGTCTGCAGTTCAACCGATTGTGCTGCCATTTCAACATTGAGACTTGCCATAAAGCACAGTACATGTATATATAGAGAAACAAATCAACACACACACGCAGAGGCTGGCTTTAGACCGAAAGTATGCAAACATAACGCGAACACAGCCACGTCAAAAAGGATGCCATGTTTTAGTATAAACTTGTTTCCACAAAAGCACAGCCCTTGGCATGTAGTGATAGAGAAAGGGGGGGGGGGATACATGTCTCCTTGTTTCTGGGTAAGACTCCGTACTCGAGACAGGCCTCGGTGAAGACAGCTGCCTGGTCAAAGAACCTCATCCTGCACCACCAGTCATGTGACAGTCATGTGATACACACATGTTGGACTGTGGACTTACCCGTAGAGCATCTCGATGATCTTGACAAAGTTTCCCAGACACAGCAGCACCAGTAGAGCCTTCTCCTGGACACAGAGAGAGAAGATGGGGGGTGAGGGGAAGGAGAGCTTCCGTCCACAAAGAAAATAGGCTACATTTCATACATACGTACGTACATGTTACATTCTGCATGAAGAGTAAAACAGGGTTCGTTTTACATGACAGAGCACGAGAACCTGGTGAAAAACCTGGCGTATGGCGAAAAACTTTCGAGGGAAAATGTGAAAACTTCCCCAAGTTTAGTGGTTTGGAGAGTCACCAACAAACGTTATTTTGCCTTTCTCTGCACCAAATATTCCTGCTGTACAGCATGCAACGCTGACTTTCTTGTTGACAGTGACGGAGGCGAGGTGGTCGGCCCATTTGGTGAAGACCTCTCCACAGTCTTTCTCTGAGAGAGTGGCTCGGGCCAGCCAGGCAGCCGTCCGCCACTCTCCATATGTCTGGAGGTAGCGACAGCCGTCCAGTCCCTTGTCTATCAGACACAGCAGCTGAACTCCATCTGGGGCATCAGCATTATCAGTACCAACACACACACGGTAAGACCAAGCTATACGGAATTGCTATGTACACACACAAACACACACACAATTTTTTTGGAAAGTAAAGGAAGCTGCTTAGTCATACGCAATGCCTAGCCTGTATTGACGTGTATATACTCATTATTGGAGAATTATATGGCTTCTCAAAAATCCCCGCATGTATGAGACAAAAAGGCATGTTGCACAGATCATTGGGAAATGGCACAGGGGGTGGAAAACATGACTCGAGTGCCTTTTCGTGTCCACACATTGCCCTGCTCTTGCTATATACATCACGTCTTTAAACCAAGTAGGTTTACAATAGAGAGATAGAAGGAAAAGAAGAGGAGGGGGCTAACCCTAACAAATGACCACGAAAATGACCAGAAAGAGAGAAACGTAAGGGTGAGGACAGGGGCTGACCCATGATGCGAGCGTTGGCGATGAGGTTTGTGGCCACAAGTTTGATGGTGCTCTGAGAGGCACCGGAGGATCTGATGGTGGCAGCTAGACAGGCTCTGTGGTGAGCCGGGGAGAGAGAGAGAGAGACAGTGGGGAGGTTAACCAGGTCCAGAGAGAGATCTGAATGGAGCGTACTTTAGAGCGTCAGTGTAATATTCCCTACTGGACGAGTCAGTCTCTAGTAGCAGATGAACCGCACGGTCCGTCTGTGGGTAGGATATATGATAGTCAACAGCAATGGAGGTGTGAGCAAGGAACAAAATAATAGTGGGAAGTTTGGAGGAAGAAAACGTGTTGAAGATTCGTTGAACCACACACAAACCAGGAAAACTAAATTCTTACTGCTAATGAACCACAAAGAGTAGTTTCTCCCATGATAAATTTCTGCTGGTATAAGTTTCCGAGCGCGTAGCACGACCTTCCGCCCGCTTTGTTTAGGGCACAAGGAGAAGGCTTGTTGTCACTAACACCAACCGATTTGCAATCAAAACCTTCGGCACAGTTTCACCTTCAATACTGCCATAAACATTACCACCCACAGTACGTTAACACTGTAGCATAATACCTGGTTGAGGAGGAGCAGAGTTTCAGCACATCTGCGTGTCTGTTGGTAAGTCTGTCTCTTGCTGTCATGTAGCATCGCCCTGTACAACTGTACTCTCTGTCCCACAAATGACACGAGAGAAAAACTTAGTGATTTGATGAGGCGCTCGCTTGCTCATGAATTATTCGTGAACCTGGTAGGTGTGTGTGTCGATGAGGAGGTCGTGACAGAGGTCAAGGGGCGGAGTCAGAGAGAGAGTCTGGAGCTGGGTGTCTGTAAACAGGGCGGCCACCTCTCGTTGCGAGAGGGAGGCGGAGGAGGGGGGGAGGGGAGGAGGGGTGGAGGCGGGAAAGAGGGGACTAGGGGCAGGGGACAGGGGGCTCGGAGTGTCCGCTGCAAACCAGCAGTAGTGCCGAGGATAAGGAGAAGGAAGGGCACAAAATGTTACAGTCAATAGTGCAACAATTTTTGTGGTTTTGCAAGCAAGTGTCACAGTACTGTTCAATGGGTAGCTTATACCAAATTACGAGAATTTAGCACTTCGAACATTGTACACTATATTTACAATTTACCTCCACTGCTGTCTCCGAGGGGTCCAAAAATGTCCTCAACCCTGCGTCCCCCCAGGGGGGCAGAGGGAGGGGGGACCACGCTGGTGGAGGCCATGGAATTTGGTCTGATGATGTCACTGACCGGCTGGTTTGGACCTGCCTGCTTGTACACCTTCAAGAGATGGAAAGAGATACTGTCTGTTTGACGCAAAATCGCCACAAATTTACTGGCTGCCACATAGTCATAAGGTACTAATATGGTATAGAGGTCTGGTGTTGACCTGGTATCTTGGGTCAGCAAGTCGATATTTCTCTCTCAGGAGATAATACTGTGCCACAGACCAGAAATCCAGCTCTCTCTGGTCTCCATACAACCTGTGGGGAGAGAGGTCAGTGACCACAGTGCCTGACAGACTCGAGAGAGGAGGTAGACTCGCGAACAGGAGAGAGGAGAGAGGTACGATATAGACAGTGAGGGGGGGTGGCCCACCTGGCAGTGATGACAGCTCTGTGTGGAGTACCCAGACTCGACTCAGTCAGAGCCTGGCGGAAACCCCTGGACATCAGAAGACACACCACTCTATATTTATCATACTTAACCTTGACTTACTGTATATATATACCGCAGGAAACACTACAGGGACCGGTGGAAACGATCCCCACTCACAAAATCAGGGAAGCAAACTTTCGTGATTGGCTCCGAAAACGTGCAATTCACAAACAAGTTTCTCTCATGAAAATTTCCTACTATACACAGTACAAAGTATCCATATGTACATGGTGTGAATATGGGAGGGTTTTCAAGACTCACTCTGGTAGTATGGTGAGAAGTTTCTTGACACCCTTTTCAATACTGTCCATGTCATCGACCCTGTGTTCGGAAACATCACAACACTGTTTTTGTTCGACAGAGAGAGGAAGGAGAGAAGGAAGGGAGGAGGGAGGAGGGAGGAGGGAGAGAGAGAGTCTCCTACTCGCTGGGGTCCAGGCTGTATTCGAGGTTCCACGGCTGGTGCTGCAGCATTGCCTTCACTCTCAGACTGGCCTGTGGCAGGACCACTTGAGGCAGGAACACCGGCTCTGCCAGGAGAGAGGGAGAGAAAACTATATATTTTCCTCATCTTTCCCCAAGCAACAACAAGTGAAGCCCCATCTTCAGATGACCCTGAAACGCAGCCCACCCACCTCCCATCTCGAGGACGTTGAGCACAGAGTGGCAGGTCCTCAGTTCCGTGTCAAACACCCGCATGCAGCCGTCGTTGCCGAGGACGACGGGCTTGTCGGACGTGGCCCAGTCAGCGTCCTCCACCGCGAAGTGACAGTTGCTGTCTTTCGCGGTGCCCCACTTCAGAGTACCCAGCACAGCGTCTGACAGCAGCATTGTGATCGCCTTCTGAGGGGTCTGTGTATATACAAACGAAATGAAACACATTGTTGATGGAGTAAACGTGAGTGCAAGATTGTACACCTACATACATACGTATTGAGTATGGACCAGAGAACCCGGTGGATTCACTCAATAATATTCTGTTCATTATTGAGTGAGTCCACTAGTGGGTCTCACTTTCTACTACTGTAGTTCTGCTTACACGTACAATTTGGTTGCGACATTTATCGTAATAATTATTATACTTTTCTTTTCACCCGAGTTGCTACAAAAACACTAAAACTGAGACTTGTTGTACGTACGTATAAACACACAAAGTGAGGGCCCTGGACTAGACAAACACTGCTGTTGAAACGATGGCATACAAACATACGTTCTTGGAGGAGTGAGACCGCGTGTCCCTCGTCTCCAGTCTGTTGTGGTAGAGAATGAGGAGCTTGTAGTTTCCCTTGCCTGGAGCAAACCTCAACTTTCTTATCGCTCCACGGTGGGTCTCCAGTGACCTGGTGGAGAGAGGAGGAGGGGGAGGGAGAGACGGAGGGAAGTAAAAGTGTGGGAGAAGAAGGGGGAGGGAGAGAGGGAGGGAGAACACGAGGATGAAGAAGGGGGAGGGAGAGAAAAGAGGAACTCCACAGAGAGAAGCTACAATGGCTACTGGACCAACTTCCACTGTGAATTCTCCAGAAAGACGATGTTTCCCTCAGCATCACCAGACACCATCAGTTCCCCCTTGAACGACATCCCACACGGCCCACTGAGAGGCAGCTGCACACAGTACACACAGTAGTTAAACCTTTCTGTAATAAACGGTGTAGCAGAGTCGGAGAGAATCCCTTACTTTCTACCTTGTGTTTGAAATGTTGTTGCACTGAAGGAGGATGGGGTGGTGGTGCGGTAAAACCTACCGCTAGAGGTGCTCCGTTGATAACGCGAACTCTTGACCCCTCGATGGAGATCTGCCACAGACTCCCAACGTCGTCCATCACGTTTAGTACTTCTCTCTCCTGAACCTTGACCTCTCCCGCCCCCATGGCAAGGTCAAAGTCCACGGCCATGAGGTTGTCTGCGTCCACCTTGTGCGTCTTGCTCTTCCCGTGCGTCGGATACCACTCCTTTGTAGGTGAGAGAAGAGGAAAGAGAGAGTGTGTGTGGACATTATTTCAGGGAGTGTTTTAGAGCTGTGGGTGGGGGTCTGTTTGTACAGCTATACAAACAACCTACAAAAGCTCTCATTTCGCTACAGCAATTCGGGAATTTTCTCCGTCGAAAGTTACCTCCTAACTGATGTTTCATGTGGCACGAGTGTGAACGTATGTACATGTGTGTGTGTAGGATGTTGAGGTATACTGCCATGGTTGGCCTGTGTGTGTGTGTGTGGCTGGCTGGGGAGCGGAGAGGCTAACCACGCAGCTGAAGGTAGGAGGGTTTGACACGAGCTCCCTCATGAACGTCAGGTTCTTGGCATCCCAGAACTCCAGCGGTCTGTCTTTGTGTTTGGCCACCAGGTAGTTCCTGTCCAGAGGGAGAGAGAGAGAGAGAGAGAGGCGCATGGGAAACGAGAGAAGAAGAGAAGGAAAATGATATTCAATAAAATCAAGTCGTAACTGTTGTTGATTTTTTAAAGATGCTAAAGTTACTAGACCGAGCACCAATAGGTACAATGGCCTAGACCCTTGGGAAAAGTAAGCTGAGAAAGTGACTGCATGCGAGACTAATGCTGAAGCGGTGTTACAGATAGACAGCCAGTAAGTAGTGGGACATATATACTTGTGAGAGGAGACGCGGACGGTCTCAATGGGAGTCTGACTGCCATTCTCAGAGTCTCCCCTGTTCAGAGGGGTCACCTTCCCCGTCGTGATGTCAGTCACACAGATCTCGCTCCGGACCTGACCCGAGATGGACGCGGCCGACGTGTGGGCCCACGACACAAACGAGTGGTGACTCAACCACTCTATCCCTCTGTGGGTACAGTGTGTACAGGAGACAACATCACACAGCATTGAAGATTGTCCAAAAGAAAGAGATTGACAATATTGCCATCAGGCAAAAATTGGGGAATAGGTTGTGGATAAAAAAGGACTAAGTTTCATGAACCAGTTGTACAGCAAAACAAGCTCTAGTCTGCCACCAAATGGTGAGTTAAGGGAACTGCGCATTTCTTGCTAGTGAATGCAAGCAGTCTATAGGGCATGGGCTTTATACCATGCCTCAAAAGCTCCTCCACTGTGTGGGGTAAAGATGTGTGTGGGTTACTGACCTGACAGGGCAGGTGTGGACTGCGACCTCCTGCACCACTGCCTCTGCCTTCAGACTGACCACGTGCAGTACGCCGGCCGCGGTCCCCACGGCAACCTGCGGTACGTAGTAGACCCAGTTCTTGGTGGTCAACGGTGGACACATTCGGACCGCAGTGGTCCGACCGTTGATGCCACACCACATACCGTTGAGGACCATTCTCGCCGACAGGTAGGCATAGCTGGATGGACAACCTGAGGATGTGTATATGTAAGGTAGACCTTTAGTATGCCGTTTTTGGACCAGGATGTCTGTGGCTCACTGTAGGGCAAACGCCCGCCAAAGTTACTCAAACTGACTTTACAGGCCATCCTAGAACACAGTTGGATGGGTTACAACTTTGCATTTTGATTTCACTGCATGCAAAGCTCACTACAATACTCTGAAGTTTTCTTTATCTTCAGAACTATAAGGTTTACTACAGGAGACCTTCAGGAGGGGAGAACCAGTGTGGAGCAATGGTGTCAGCCAGAGTCAGTCTCTCCGTCGGTTCCCCCGCTGGCCCCTCCCCCTCCCCCGGCAGGTCGACCAGCCCCGCCTCCACCGGACATGCCGAGAGAAAAGTGGGTGGAGCCACGTCGTCTGGGAACTCTTGCCCATAGAGCCCCACCTGGTGAGGGGGAGGGGGGGAAGAGAGAGAGGGAGAGAGAGGTGACAGGGGAAGAGCAAACCTCGGAACATGGCAAACGTAATGTAAATTTCACTCTCACAGTTTGTGATGATTATGAGTGCAAACATTGAAACTGAAAACTATCGTCCATATTAGTTAAAGAATCAGCAGAAATGAGTACAAATGATATTACTCTCATCTCGTACTACTTATCGTAGAGGAAAGAGAGAGGTATGTAGTAAGACCTGCTCAAACTCGACGTCCCAGATGAGTATGCGGCCCTCACTGGTCATGACGGCCACTCTCTTCTCTGACGACAGACACAGAGCTCCGGTGAAGACGGTGCAGAGTTTGCTGATCCTCAGTGGCTCCGAGGAACAGCAGAGAGTGTACGACACACTCGGCACCTGGAGGGGGGTAGGGGGGCATGAATGAAGTAGAGGGATGGGGAAAAGAAGTAGAGTAAAGAAAAAGAACCACGAAATGGTATCATTATTATGTATTGGCTACTGTGCACATTGACTCCCGCTAGATTTATATGGTTGAAGGGGGCAAAAGAGATTTTTTCCTGAGAGAGTGGTGCACCTGTACGTGTGGTTCAAGGGAAGGGGTGGGGAGGGAGGAGGGGAGGGGGAGTGGTCTGGTGGAACCTCATGCTGACACCCCCGTTCTCATGGAGACAGAAGAGGACGTTGCGCTGTCGGCACGGCAACAGGCGCAGGAGAGGAGACGAGTTTCTCTCGAGAGTCAGTGAGCCGATGGCCTGTCTGATCTCCATATCCATGACGACGACCTCTCGAGGGTACACGATGAGGAGGTGGTGCTTGTGGGCCGTGGAGAAGACTATTTGACGGCAGTCTACCTGTGTGATACTCTCCTCCCCTCTGTGTGTTAGAAATGAGGAGAGAAACAGACAGAGAAAGTAGGTTACCATAGTATAGCACCACAAATATCGAGCTACTGAGCAAAATATTTGAGGACCAGCTGTCATTGCAAACATTTCACTAGAATATTATATACATGTAACTGTAGTTTGACCATGACTTAGAAAAAGTTCCAGCTAAAAAAGTGTTTTGCACCGTGATTACCAACCACAAAACCTTGACATCATGTGTTTGTAATCGCTATCCACTAGGCAGATACATTATACACGTAGTGGGTAGGGGGCACAGACTTGAGACTGTCACTGGAGAGAAGTTTCCAGGTGGGTCCGGCCGACTTGTGGCGAGAGGTGGGCAGAGTGTTGTTGGAGCCGGTGCTCTTTGTCATGTAGAACTTCTTGCCTCCCCCGGTGGTCGGTGTCCGATTCGCGTTGAAGTCACTCACAAATATGAAGCACTCTGGAGATTGTACTGGACACAAAGAGACAAAGGTAGGCCTATTAACTCAGAACACATGACCAAACTGCATCACAGATTTGTAAGGGAAGAGAGAAAAAGATAGCAAGGCTCGGTAGCTGGCAACGGATCCTCAAACCTCGAAAATTCTTGACGCACAAGTTCGTATTGTGTATCACCTCTGAAATTTTTTACATGAGCCTTATGGGAATGCCCTTCTCTATATGTTGTATGCTCACTACACTGCCTCAATGAACACTCTACCAGTAAAATAACCACAGAGTTCACTCACAGACAAGGTTCTCGGAGTGAACAGTCTCTACCATTAAAATAACCATGCCGTCCCAGGGTTCACTCACAGACAAGGTTCTCGGAGTGGAAGGGGCTGAAGGTGAAGGCCTCTATGGTCTCTGAGAAGGTGACTCTAGTGATCTTGCTCCCACTGCTAGAGTTCCACAGAGTGAGGGTGCTGGGACTCAGCATCACTGCCAGCAACTCCAGACCTGTGTCCTGCATTGAGACCCGTTTTGAAATTGGACGATTGTACTAGAGTCCCGTTTGAAGATGGGACTACTTACGTCTGTTGTTAGCCACTGCATGTCCACCAGTGGTTTGTTTCCGAGTGAGAATTCTGCGACTACGGCTGCCTGTCCGACGTCCCAGATCACACAGAGGGAGCTGGCATCGACGGAGGCGAGGCGGAGGGAGTAGGGTGCGGCCAGGGTGTGGTGACGTCTCTGGTGACACCATCGGAGCTGAGAGAAAGAGAGAGAGAGAGTTCGGAGGGGAAGGGGAGTAAAAAATTGTACTGCGTGTCACTGCTTGTCTAAAGTCACTGCTCTTGCAAACTCCAAGAGGTTGCGGTCACAGAGTTATAGTGACAAGGAAATTGTCAATGTCAAGCTGCAAGCACTTCCAACGGTCAACCTACTGTAGTGTGATTGCTGCTAATGACTGCTGCTAATGTACTGCATTACCCGGATGACGGAGCTCTTGTGATGGGCCAGAGTCTGGAGCGGCTGTACCGAGCTAGGATCGATGACCACAACCACACTCTGACAGCCGTACGCTATCAGTCCCTCCCACCCCCTGTCGAGGGGGCAGAGAAAGAGAGAAAAAAGCAGTCGAATGGGATGCAAGATACGGCGAACAGCATACTCACCAGTCTAATGCATTCCTGTTGTCTGCATGCGGCAGTCCTGGCACTACCAGAGTGCGCAGTACAGGCATACCAGCAACTGTAGTAACACCAGTCTAGAAAAGCACTTGACTTCTATATTATACCTGCAGCTCGATTCCCAGTTTAAAATTACTTTACGGCATGGATTAATTTGACCTTTGACCTCTCGCTAAATTAGAAAAGGGGCAGGAGACCCCGCCCACATGGCACTTGTGAGAAAGCTGGGAAGAGTGGCATACGCTCCGACCCTGGAGCTGCAGCTACAGCTTGCGGCCAAGTACAAGAACATCAGCCGAGGAGCGGTAAAGCCGTGAATCCTCGCCGTTCCTCCGAATGTCTCTGTCGCCTATAAGGTGGGGGAGATCCTCCTGGTCGAGCACGAACCTCCGGTGTTACACGTTCGGGCTGCGGCAGAAGGACTACAAACTGCACGCGAGAGAGCGCCTCAGAGGCCTGGGTGCTGAAGTCCACAAGGTAGGAAACGTACCGTTTCCCTTTGGCGGTCTTGTTCTAGTTTTGGCTCATATCAGGTGAGGCGAGGTGGACTTGCTACTTTCCATGGTCCAGGACAACTGGTTTGCTACCCTATCCTCAACCTCAGAGCCCTCAATGTGAGCTCCAGCGACGACCACCTCCCACCTTCCTCACACCACACAAACACACACTCTATCTATAGGTTGGGATAAGAGACTATGTACACTGTTTGGAGAAGGCAGTGGTTGCTACGTGTACAGATCTCGGAGTGGCAGCTCACACCACAAACTGCACCGGTGTCTGGGTGGGCCCTCAAAAGGTATGTGCTCTAGGTAAGACAGAAACTCTGTTTTTTGGAAAACGAATCCAATGGAAGTGAACACCAGGTATCCAAGTGAGTCACGGAGTGTCGTTCCATGGTCTGGGTCTCAACTGCTGTCCAAACCTCTCGTGGTTTGACCACATCGTCCCGTGTGGCATCCCTGACCTACAGGTCACCTCTCTTTCATATCAACTCAATAGAACAGGTATACACACCTAACATTATCCAGAAAATATTTTCTTGTAATGTTGTTTTTTCTTTCTCCCTGTAGTGACACCAGATGAAGTAGCTCCACTTCTTGTAAAGAACTTGGCACATTGTCTCTCAATATCCTATCACTAGTCACTTAGTAAACATCTCAAAACATCATAAATTTTTCACTCCTCAGCCATCAAATTTTCACAAGAGAGAGAATCACTTTTCTGACAGGAAATCTAGAGCAACTGTTCCTCAGTGTTACAGATATTCCTTCAACGAAGGCCATATCAACAGCCAGTAGAACGGTATACAGACTTTTAGGAGTTGTGTCAATGATCTCGCACACGGATGAGATAAGGAACCTCATCGAATGAGATAGCCGAGTCTCTTCCAGGTCTTCGTACCACTTGTGGGAGGTGGGGAGGGGCCGATAAGTGGTGCAGGGGGCCTTGGGGTTTTCGATGAAGCGAGAGACGTGTACCAGTCGAGGGGTATAGTTGTCAGTTGTGTTGTCGGTAGAGCGAGGGTCAGAAGCAGGCAAAGGAGAGGGAGGATCGGCTGGTAGTGTTAGTTTAGCATCCTCTGTGGCAGACTGGAGTTTAGATACACTTGCAAAAATGGTTGAAATCTTTCTGCTGAAAGCAGGCTCAAATCTTTGAACGGCTGCACAGACAGAAGAAGACAATCAAAAAGGGAATATATAAGCGGCTTTTAATCAAACATTTTGATCCAGGAACTGGAGCAGATCTGCACTTGGAGAAGACTACGTCTTTACAGAATTTGAGGTAGTGCTGGCAGCTCTTAGAGCTCCTCGGATCTCTGCAACACAACAGTTTTACTCAGCTACACAGTGCTGCACGCTGGTATATATACACATTAATGACCCTGGAGAATGGGTGTGATTGGCTCACATGAGATTGGGAGGGGCATCGTCGTCCAGTGAGGAGGTGGACGAGATCCGAGTACAGTAGACTTGGACCCAGTCCACCCAGATAGGGAGGGAGTTATCAGTAGTGAGATCGTCATGGCCACTTGCATCAGTCAGACACTCTCTGTAACATGTATATACAACACCATTAGTTTGTAGGCTCTTAGGTTGCAACAACAATATATTAAATGATCAATCTACTCACTCAAGCTCCACACGGTCATCTAGTCCATACAGTATCCTGAGCATGATAATAATGACAGCTGCACACTCCAGGTCCAACCTTCGACCAGTGAAACCCAGTGGCAGATAAACTGTTGCCATAGCTCTATCAACCAGTCTCTTGAAACACTCTGTGTGGATAGAGCACTACTTTTCGTATCCACATTCTCGTGGGTTTATTAAAAAAATTTGTTCCATGGTAAAAACCAACCTGTGAGTCTGAGCCTGTCAATGATGATGTGGCTGATGGCCCTGGGGTCAGGGGTGGGCAGAGGAGGCAGAGGGAGGTGGAGGTACAGTCTGAAGGCATTCTCAATGACAGCAGGCGTAGTGACTGTCTGCATCTACAGAATGAAGTAGGACATTCTGTTCCTGATTGTTCTCCCTCCCCTCCCCCTCTGGTCTCACTGTTGTGAAAAGGACACCCTTGTCTTTATTTCTAGAGCTGTCATCATCATTATCTTCTTCAAGTGGAGTATGGAGAGGAATCTTCTCATTTTTAACCCACCTACACAGTAAACACAGCACACGCAGCAGTAGAACAGCCCATTTGCAAAGCCAGGGTCATCGCCATACCTGATCAGGTCAGCAGGGAGCACAGGTTGCTCAGTGTACAACAGTGCCAGGTACAACAGACTGACTGTTGTGCGAAGCTTGAAGACTCTTGGCTGGTAACCCCACGACTCAGTTTCAGCAACAAACTTTGGTTTCAGTTCTCCGTGGGCCGAGAGGTACGCCTGGCGAAACGCAAGGAGCTGGCGACAGTCCATGGCTCTCTCTAGTTCCTCTAGCTCCTCCCAGCTTCGCAGGCTTTCCATCATCCGTACACTCTCTGCAGCATCCGTGGTCTCACGTGCTACTTGACTCAGATCCAATTTTTCTACTGTGTTTTTACTCTTATCCGTTGTCTTACTCGCTCCCTGGCTCAGTTCCAGTTCTCTGTTGTGTTTTTACTCTTATTCGCCGTCTCAAACAAGAACTTATCATCAGGGAAAGTATCGTATCCAGCAGTTTTTGCAGCAGTCGTTTTTGCCTTTTTAACTGTGCCAGAAGACTCTGTGCTGTCACTGTCTGCTGGTCTCTTCTGCCCTCTTCTCCCCCTCACCCTAACAAGAGCTACTGTCCCACGGTCAAACTGTAATCCACTACCACTTGGGCCAGGTTGCGAAGAGGACGGACAGAACTGAAGTTTGTTCTGAGTTCGGCCACTGACACTCCTGCCCTCCTCCCTGAAGGCATAGCCGTAGTGTCTGAGGTAAGTGAACCAGATCAGTCGAGCTGCCTCCTACGGTTATGAACACACAAACTACCTTAGAGGAAAAAATTCAAAGGAAGAAAATTGTTCCAGTATGATAAACTTAATTATAAAGCTGTCGTGGGACGGCCCATAAGCAAGAGTAAACATCGAACCTTGACAGATGGATCAAAGCCGAGTGCTACCACAGCATCACACTGCCTCTTGATAACCTTCTGGAATATCTCCAGAGGTAGAGAATGTTCCGTCTCCTCACCCTCCGTTTTCTCTAATTCAAACAGAGAATAAAACAAGTTTTTATCCAGGGATGCTCACTAGATTTTCCTTTCTTTGTCCTGAGAGACCTGGTGTATCTGCCTCGTCCCTCCTCCAGCTGTGAAACCTCCACACGCACGTCCTGCGAGACAGGAACGGCATTTTGGTTTTACTAAACACAGGTGTTGGTTCGTGGGGAGACGGAGCACGAACTTGTGACTGCGTTCCACACTCCAGACAGAAGAAAAGACCATCGTGCGGGTCTCCAAAGTCGGAAGAGCCGCACACGACGCACACAGACATGACTACATGGGCGAAATCACAGTGAGGATGTGGAAAACACTACACGTGGGTGACGTTTAATATTATTTCCCATAACGCACGCGCCGCCGCGGTCATCGGCGGCACAATTATGTTCGCAGTCCAGTCACGCGCGAGGCGGAACTGCGGTTCAAAAAAACGAGC